CAGTGCTGGCGTCTGGAGTTCTTCTTCAGTGAGCAACACAAGGTTATTTCAAACCTTTACGCAGGATATAGAGTCCTTATAGACTAATGTTAAGGATCCGATGAAGTAAGACGGTTAAGGAAACCATGAAATTTCATTACATTTTATTTAGTGTAGTGGAGCTTTTGGTGTGGTGGCACTCGAGGATTGAGGGTTGGAGGGTTTGGGGATGTTTGGGGTTTTTACGTGTACCGGTTTACAGGAATATGTTGATCCCGGACTCCATGCAGCAGCCTCAATCGCCAGCATATTTTTTGCATCTTTGCCTTTTCCCGTTTGCATTTTTTGCCAGTGAACTCTCACGCATCCCAAGATCCTGCCCGAATTACCCTTCTGAAAGAGCTTCAGCAGATGCAAGAAGGCATGTACTTCAGGTCCCTACAACCATCTCTGAGCATACTGAAGCAAGCAGCCATTTCGATCCGGCGTCACAAAAAGCCGCAGGTGTGGCGCAGGGGCCCGAGCGTGGTTGAATGAGGTCAAGACGGGTCCAGAGCAGTGTGGGGTAGCAGGATGTTTAGTTGGACATGCTCCATTGCTTGGATGCCGATTCAGAAGTTGCTGGAGCTAGGGATTCCAGGACAAACTGTGCCAAACCCATTTCCAGAGCAGCATCCCCCATCCGCCCCCTTACTCTCGAAATGCGACGAAGACCTAACCCCAAAGCCTAAACCTTGAACTCTAAGCCCTAAACTAAACAGGCCTTCTGGACTAACCTTGTGGCGGTACGGAAAAGGGGCGACAAAAAAAAAAAAAAAGCCCTAAACTAAACCCAAAACCCTAATAGTCCTTAAACCCTCAATAAACCCCAAAACCCTGAGCCCCAAACCCTAATGAGCCCTAATCTGACTGAGGTCTGAACCCCTGTGTTCTCGACCATGTGACATGGCGAGGACCCCAGAGAGAGCTTTAGTATCGAAGCCTGGTGCTTTTATCTCAAACCCCGAGTGTTTTTTTTGGAGCTTACCCTATAATTTCTTTTGGAGCTTACCCTATGATTTTTTTTGGAGCTTACCCTCTAATTATGGGTTCAGGGTGTGCAGGGTGTAGGGCTCAAGGATTTTTTCTATAAATCCCTGCAGCTTTTGTGCTTTGAGCAGGAAGAGGTGATACAGTCCTAAATAAACCCTATCCTCAAACCCTAATCGCCACGAAGAAAATCCGCTTACACCGCTCTTGACATCAGACCTTTTTCCGGAAGCATACCTCGATTCTACAGTGGACATAAGCCCTGCAAGCCCCAAACCTCAAACTCCACCGAAGCCTAACACCCAAAACCCCCCAGCCCGCCAACCCTACATTAAGAGCCTGCGATCCTAGATGCCCAACGCGAAGACCAGCACATGTCACACCGATAGTGAGACACTGAAGCCCCAATCTCAAACTCAACTGGCCCTGTCCTGCCCAAGACCCAGCCCCACGCCCCCACCACCCCACGCACCCAAAACAGAAGCCATAGCAGGCTAGGTCTGCAGTATGATTGTTCTGAGCACCAGCGTCACAACTTCCGTTTTTCTGTGGCACAACCCAAAGGGTCCCATGTGCTGTTATGGGGAATACTTCCCCAAATCATAATAGTAATTCCTAATATAGAAACCCTACATTCTATTATATCGGTACTTTGGACCCTTTGGGCAATGGAGCCGGCTGCAGACGCCGACAAGGAGGTGGGACCGGCTCGACGTGTGCAGAAGCTGGGGCCAGTTTCGGTGGATTTCCGGCAGCGTGGATTTCGGATGTAGAGATGCATTCTATCTGCTTAATATAGGGGCCTATATAGTTACCTATACTATTTTGGAGGTTCCTTTGTTACAACTACTGTAAAATATACCACCAAAACCCTATTCCAATTATTAAGGCCCCTAATATGAGAGTGCAAGGAGTGCAATGTATCCTTGCTCAGACAGAGGCCGAGACATGGAATCCCAACTCCGAGGTCCGGGGCTTACACAACCAAGACTCGGGGTTTAGGAGTGTTGGGTAAAGGGCTTAGGGCCGGGTCAGGGGTTCAGGGTTTAAGCAGGGGTTTCGAAACCCTAAACCCCTAGACCCTAAAGCCTAGACCCTGGTTAAGCAGGAGTTTCGGGTCCAGCGTTCAGAGTTTATCCTTTTGGATAAGCTTGCAGCGAACTCAACTCCAAGTCCCAACTCCCTGACTGCAGCATCCGAAGCATATGGGAGTTTCCGAAAATCAGGGGTACCTTATTTTGGGGTCCTTATAATAAGGATCCGACTATTTAGGGTGCTATATTTGGGTTCCCGATTTTCGGAAACTCCCATATTACGATGCTGTGAAGAAACGGGCTCAGAAATGCTGCAGGAAAAGATTGCAGTAGCAACTTACGACAGCTCGTCTGTATCATCCGAAATTAGGGCACCCTAATATAGTATCCCAAAATAGTAGGATCCTTATGATAAGAACCCCCAAATAAGCTAACCGACTTTTCGGAGCTCCCATGTGGGAGCTTCAGACAACAAGCAACGCCGCTTTCGGAACCTCGGTCCTACTATAAGAACCTTATACTTATAATTAAGGCCCCTATGGTAGCAGGAATTAGAAATACTATTTCTTGGGTGGGTCCTTAGTATGAATTATGATATCATGAATGGGCCCCAAAAACCCTCTTCTGATTCTTGAGGCCCCTGTATAATATTATTCACCCCAAACGAATTGCCAATCGAGGCTCCAGAATCCGTCGCGAACTCGTTGCGCTTTCTGCGCGAGGCGCGCGACACTGAAGTCTTGGCAGCACGGGATTTACAGGTCTTGGCTTATTCGTCGAGCAGCAAGCCTTGGACAAGAGTCCTTCTCCCTCCTGGTTGTGGACCAAGTCTGTTTTCGTTGATGAGCTTTCACCACTTGCACTGTGAAGGCGTGGCGTCCCACTTTGCTGAAACCCTCGGATGCTGAAATCGATGCTGGGCTTGCAATTTGGGATGACAGGGTTTAGGTTTAGGGAGTCATGGGTCGAGGGTTTGGAGATCCTGGGGTTTACGGACTCAAGCGCTTAGGGCATGGAGCTCAAGATGTATTGCTCAGCACTTCCGGCATAGCTCAGGCTTCTTGGTGGAGGGCTGCTATATTTGTCCGTAGGGGCTCATGTTTCGACAGGTAGGTTTCAATGTTGTTGAATTGCTTCGCATGTGCTTTGTTGTTCCTGAACCCTACAGCGGAACATGCTGTGTTGGTGCCGTTTCCCTCGGGGTGTGGGCAGGGTTATTCTAAAGCGACAACAACAACAACAACGACAACGACAACGCCCGTGCGCGGCCTTGAACGTTGACGCTCTAACCCCAAAACAGGGCTGAATCCCTAAACCCTAAACCGTGGCAGTTGCCTTTTGTTGGGTTGGCAGCCGGGCGTACAAATTGGAGGACAATCAACCTTTGCGACTGGAAGGTGCAAGCGGAGTCTTAGTAGCTGAGTGGATACACTTTACACTTTGTGGGGTAATATTACCTACCATCAAACAGAAAGTGTACACTTTTTGGGGCTTATGAACTCAGCAACTAGGTGATTATACATGGTTTGCTTGCAGTTGTTTGCAGCATGGGCCCGTCCCAAAATGAAGCCCACCATGCGAAATACAGCAACACAACCACAAGCACAAGAAGAAAGCTCCGGAACACCAAAACAAAGAGAAGAAGAAGATGAAGACTACAAATTCCAAAAAACAATAGCATGGAATAGTTACACCGCAAGCACAAGAAGTTCAGAATCAACGCAGAAATCAGCAGAAGGATGGCAATACTAGATACAAAACCATACATATAATGAGGACAAGGCTTGAACTTATACCCATTACGTTTCCCCTAAACCCGAACTCCTAAACCCTGCACCCTAAGCCCCAAACCCTCATTACATGTATGCTTTTTGTCATTGGCGTTTTAGTCTAAGCGACGTCCGATTTTTGGAGCTCAGGAGCTATTGGCGGCCAAAGCCGCGGAAGCCGAAAAAGAGGCCCTGAGTTGTGGTCTCTTTGGGGGGGCTTAGGGCTTTAGGGATTTCGGCCTTAGGGCTGTAGGGATTTAGGGCTCATAAGGGGGTTGGCTTTCCGGGTTGTGGGCTTAGGGCGTTCGGGTTTGAGGCCTTAGTCTAGGTAACCTTAATAGTGTTCATGGAGTTTGTATGACTTTGTTACGAGAGGGTTTGGGGTTCTTGCATTGGGCTTTATGTGGTTTGGGTTTTCGACTCTAGGCGTCGCGTGTACGGCTAGAAAAGCCCTGAACCCGACAGGTCTCCCATGAAGCTATGCAGTCGAACTATCCTGTGTCTTCTTCTCTTGGGCCCGCAAGAGGAAGAGTTTTGGTCCGGCTCTGAAACACAGGTGGAGTCATAAGTTCCTAACCGCTCCTCAGACATCGTGAGCAACCATGGTTGTTTGTTCAGTTCCAGATTCTGCTATGGTTTATCAGTTTATCATTCATCTTGCTAGGTTTCCAGACCTGGAATCCGACTCCGGAAACTTTGGCCAGCCCGGATGACATCACTAAGCCTAACCCGTGCCTGCACCTCTAAACCCCCGAAAGCCCCAAACTTCCGAAAAGCCAACGTTATACCCCCGCTTTATAGGACGGACCACGCAGCCATCCGGCTTGGGCTTTCAATCGATTTACAAGCGACTGAGCCCGCTGTGCAAACTTTAGTATGACGGAGCATACGGAGCATTCAGGCAGAATGACAAGATGTTGAGGGTTCAGAGTTCAGGTTAGGTCCACCCAAGACCCAGACCTGCCCCTGGGATCTACCGGCGAAGACCGGGGTCGTTGTCTTAAGTCCTGTGGCCTGGCATCAAAGTGCAATCGACTCCTAAATTCCTAGATCCTAGCCCTATCCATCCAATTACCTCATAGTTAGGGCCCTAGACCCCTTAAGCACCCCGTAATAAGGTCCCTGGATGCATAGGGTAATCCTTACGCAAATCCGAAGCCTCCGACGTCCCGGAGCAACAAGACCGGCCATGGAGCTGTTTGGAACGGCGTGGAGCGGCCCCTTGGTTTAGGGTATACGGACCAGTGGGGATGGCCGACTTATACTTGTCGTATTTTATGGTATAGTCATGTTATATGCAAATGAACTATAAGCATCTTATCGTATTTTATGACACACTCTGATGTAGTATCTGCAACAGGACAGCTAGCAAGGAGGTGGGATGCGCGTCAGGCGTCAGGCTAAGATCTCCCCCTGCCCCGCCCTTAAACGGGACATTTGCAACAACCATCGGAGTAGTTATCTAAAAAACGGGTCCCCCGTTTAGGTCCTAAATGTAGTACATAAAAAGCACCTCCACAGGGACCTTAGCTTGGAAAACTACCCATCGATTCTGGAGCAATCGTGTCGTTGAGCAGGCCGAGAATCTGGCTTGTCAACTACTAGGACTGTACGAATCCCCAATCCCAACTTGGAAGTCACATGCCATTGGCACAGACCGGGAGTACTGAAACGCAGCAGAGGGTTTTCATGCATTCCAAATTGAATCTTTCTCTTCCTGAGGTGACTTAGATGGTGTTCTGGGAAACATGTCGGCTCCTTTGTCGTTTTGTTCATAGCCTCAAGAGTTTCCGGGCTTCAGTGTTGGAAGTTTCTCGAACGTGTTGACTGCTCTTGAAATATTGTACACCCCCAAGCCCATCCCATCTCATCCCAAACACGCACGAGCGAAGGGTCTTAATCCCAAAGCGGGGTGTACCATACGACAACGCGCGTATAGGATTCAGAGATGAGACAGGTATGTTTGAGGTTGAGGTATGGCGCAGGTACGTCTCTCTTTGAGGTATGGATTAGTTTTCTTGTGGTATGTTTATAAGACCCTAGACCTCGACTGCCCCGAGTCTTTCGAGGCTACACGCCCGAGGAGCGGCAACATGCCGACAACCTCCGCATCTACGATGCCATCGGTACCTTGGTCCGGTAGTGCAAAGCCGTCAGATGAAGTAGCAAAGTTTTGCAGCTCGCCCGGGAGCTCGAGCTTACTAGCCTGAAGCCCCAAAGAATCTTAAGTCTTGAGCCGCAGACACAGTACAGCGTACGCCGCCAAGCAATGACGACAACAAGGCGACCCACACCCACCACGAGAGTTGCAGGGACTAGACGACCACCAGCAAACGACGTACCACAAAAACAGCGAAAACGACGGCTGCGACAATCACAACGCACTTTCTCGAAAGCCTCAAAGCTGGCAATATTCGAGGAGGGATTCAACAGAGGCCTTTCGTCCGAGAGGCCAAAGCCCCCTTTGCATTAGATACTACAACAGTGCATCAGGTGAATTCTGCGTCTAGAATTCAAGGTACATGCTTTAGGTAAGCCTGAAAGGGGTACGGGGCTCTGCCTGCAGCTAGCTCGACTTCATCCTGAAGCAGGAACCTCTTCTTAAGCCCGCTACAGGTTTGTCAAGGGCATCGGGAGTTCACCAACGGCTCGTAGCAGCATTGTTCCTCTGCTCTTCGCACATTCCGGTGTATTGCCCCAGAGCCCAGGCATTCTGGCCCTCATAGCATTACAATACTTTGACCCTGAAGGCTATACAAATCTTCCTTAGTTCGCACATTTCCATAGATGGCATCTGGCTTAATGTAGGAACCTGATTAAGAAACCCTGGGCCTATAACCCCAATATAGTAGGGTTCTTATAAGGAACCGTAACAAAGGCCCAAGGTTTCTTAATCAGGTTCCTACATTAGGCTTCATCGATCCTGCACTGCCAATCCCGATCAAAGTTCAAATCCTAGACCCTGAGACTCTAAAAGCAGACCTAGAAAGCTCCAAAAGCAAATGCTAGAACAGCCCCTACACCCTAAACCCTCCCTAAAACCTACCAAAAGCAAGCCCGAACTCTCGAGCTACGGTTCGGCCTTTTCGGGTGCACCCTCCAGGAATTCCACTCTTCTGCCCCTGGTACCTGATCCTCGGCAAGTTGTCGCTTCGCAAACTTATGGCCGAGGGTTTAGGGTGTGGGGTTCAGAGGGTTTAAGTGGAGGTGTGGAGTATACGGTTTGTGGCTAGGCTTCAGGATTGAAGGTCGTGCGTTCAAGACTTGGGTTCAGGGCTTCTAGGAGTTCTGGGACATGGTTCTGTGGCTTCCGGTCTAGATTTCCGGCTGGATCAGAATCACGACATCCAGAAAAGATCAAATGCACGACTTCCAGACAGGCAGCGTAGTCTCTTGGGAGCATGCCAGCTCTTGGTTTTCACCAGCATGTATGAGCAGGGGGAGTCTCACCAAAAGAACCTGCTAATTCCTGCAGAGGTCATCTAAGTCTGTATGTCACTTGCATTATTGGTTTTACTATAGCACTATGTTAAAACAACGGTTGATTATTACACTGTCCAGCTTCTTCTTACTGTCTGAGTGGTAGCTCGGATATTATAGGATCCTTAAGGGAGGGTGGTTCAAGGGGGGAGGGTATAAGGAATCCTTATGGGACTGTAAGGGAACCTTAGGGAGTACTAGGGAGGATTAGGGATCACTAGGCTATATACCCTCCTTGGACCCCCGTCCCTTAAGGATACTACAAGGATAGGCATGAAACAGTTGACTTCTCTGGTTTTTGGAGGAGGAGTCGGTTCCTCTATATGGGAGGCTCGGAAAATTAGGGGGGTACCTTATTTTGGCGTCCTTACAATAATGGATCCTACTATTTAGGGTTTTATATTAGGGTCTCCATACGTTCGGAAACTCCCATATTCTGGATCTGATCGGTAGGTGTGAGTGCCCACATTGTGCTGTTTTTCCTAGTTAAAGAGAGACGTCGGCTACACACCTACTCAACATTCCAAACCCTGAAATCTGAACTCTACAGACACTCGTCCTGCTCGGGTTAAGATAGAGATTTCAGCATGCTATGCGGGCAGCAACAGATGAGCAATCTTATGGTGGGCAGTAGGGCATAACATGCAGGCTTGCAGAATGAATAATTAATGGTGACCTGTGTTTATCGTCTCTTTGTAGATGTACTAGGGCTCGTCTGGAAACGGGCACAGCTTTGCTCACGAGGTTCGCGACCGAAGATGCCTTGTACGAGGCCACCGTTGAAGGGAGTGTTACCTCACAGTTCAACTACTCTCACTCCTTCAAGCAACAACCAACGGCTACAAGCATCCAAAGCTCCTGCACCCAAGAACTTATCGACAGGTCCGGCAAATCTAGAGCTGAAATCATGTTGAGATGTTGGACATGTTTGTGCAAGGGCGTTCTTGAACATGTCACGGGCTAGAACCTACTACTACTACTACTACTACTACTACTACTACTACTACTACTACTACTACTACTACTACTACCACTACCACTACTACTACTACTACTACTACTACTACTACTACTACTACTACTACTGCTACTGCTACTGCTACTGCTACTGCTACTAGTACTACTACTAGTATCACTACTGGTACTACAAGTAGTAGTACTAGTACTAGTACTAGTACTAGTACTAGTACTAGTACTAGTAGTAGTAGTAGTACTACTACTACTACCACTACCACTACCACTACCACTTGTGCACACACTACCGCGACGACTACTACTACTGCTGTGACAAAGAAATATACTGCCACGACCCTGGTCATTGTTATCGGTGTTCGTCATTTTAGCCATGGCGCCCATTTGGGTCTTGTTTGCATCGTTTCTGTATTGGATTGCTTAGTTGTGTGTTTGTTTTCAGGAACCTCCCAAAATGCGTTTTTCATCTGCCTTGCTGGTCAGCAGGATTATGTTGGTCATGTTGCCGAAAGCCCCCAAGAATAGGTAATCTTGTATCTCACATAGGTTCTCATGAAGAGTGTTACACTGTTTTTGTCATCCGGATTTGGCAGTCACTGTGCACAGGACGTAGCAGATACATGCCTCGCGTGTAGAGCCTATAAGCCCTACCTATCTCCGCCCATACTCTTAGATGCTGCGGGAACCTGAGCAAGAAATCCTAGCTCAAGAGTCTCAACAAGATAGGATCCATATCAAGAGCCTCGTAGTAACGTCGCAGTACGCAAAACAGCATTTTCATAGTCGGGTTCTTACATCGGATACATGCACAAAGCTCGACCCGATAAGGCGGCACCGGACACATTCAGCACTGGGCTGCGGCTGGTTCTGGCCGTCGTGGCGTGCTTCGTGCTGTTTCTCCACTCCCAGGTACGATGGGGGCCTGCGGAATTGGAGATAGGACTGTTTCGTAATGGGAGTAGAGTAGCTATCTTAAGTGCTGGACCCGAAACTCTATCTAGGAGCTTTAGGAGACTGTAGGATCTTGGGTCGCTTGGCCAGAGCCTGGGCGATTGGCTTTGGGTGTGGGCAGGCACGCAGAAACCAACCCAAAATCCGTCACAACCCAGGGAACATGACTGTAGAAGTCGGAGTGATTTGTAATGCCATCACCGTATAGTCCCTGTTGTAATCAATAGCACACCCCAACCCCGTTCCGATTATTGAACTCCCTACCTTCGGGCTGCTAAGCTCTGACTCTGTGGACCTCCAACGGGCAGAACAATCCCAGTCGAACTCCGTTTCTAGATTCGATATCCTGAAGCCAAAAGCGTTCTAGTCCCAAACTCACAACCCCCAAGCCCCGAGCCTCCAAACCCGTTTTGGGGGATATATTGGGAAGTAGTTTGTCAAACACAGCCTCCAATGCTTTTGACGACTAATTTAAATGTATTTGTTGCATTTATGGTGCGTTTTGGTAATTGCGTAGGCACGGAAATACAAAGTTTTCGATTCTGGGGTCCAGGATGTAAGGACGAAGGCAACAACAGTTCAACCACCGCAACATCTCACAGAACAGCTGCAAGTCATCGGCATGTACTCTTCTATGTGCTGGCAAACCAACTGTGAAGAAGACACGAGACGCATCAGGCCGTGCCAAAGCCCTCCAAGGACATCGCCACACCGCAGCTCTTTGTTGCCACAGTCGAGCGTTATCATTCAAAGCACTACTCCTCATAAATCCCTGGTGAAAGTCAAGATATTCATGGTTCTACAGCAGCGTGTGTTTTTTTGTCTCTTTTGGCAGGTTGAATTGTGCAGGGTTCTATGCCAGTCTGCCGAGGTTGCTGCTCCGTACCTGGGGATTTGGGATGACACAAATATAGAGGCTGGAGCAAGGTTTTGGGGCATACCATGCAGGAAGTTACAAAACTTCAGGAGCTTATCAGCAACAAGTCAATTATCCAGGGCTTCTCTTTTTGATTTATGTACACTATGGCCTCCATCATGTTTATCTTAGAATGTATATCGCCAGCAAAGGAAGCATGACAGCACCGGGTAAGTTATGTCCTATAGCCCGGAACCCTTAGCCCTAAACACTTAAGGCTGAACCCTGAGCCTGCAAAGCCTCATCCCCAAACCCCATCAGCCCTGTGTTCGTCGGGTTTTGCAAGAGCAGCCGTGCCTACGAACTACCTGGTGGTAGCGATTCACCACGAAACTTCGGGGACCACGATCGACAAAGATCGTGGATTGCTTAAACGATGTAGCTCTTCGAGTATTTGCGAATATGAGGGCCGTTTGTAGAGACCTCCTCCGCTCCCTCATGCTCCTGGAAGGATGCTGATGCCTTCTATGTGCAGAAGAAGATAGGACATTGGACTCTTGGCTTGCGATGCTGAGGGGCTGGGTTTGGGCATTCCTAGAAACCTGAACCTCGAGCCTGGACCCTTTCTTCTGGAACCTAACAGCTACCCCTAAACCCTAAACCTTTAAACCATTCTAAACCTCTTATAAACCCTAAACCCCTAAACCTTAAACCCCCAAACCCTATGTAAACCCCTAAACCGAACCCTGATCCCCCCAGTTTCATCCCCAAGCTCCGGTCTAGACAGCCGAGGGTGTACCTCACCCGCCACTGCATCGCCATGCAGGACCGATCGCTGAATTTACTTGGTTTACAGTAAGCACCATAAAGTTGGAAACCTGACTAAGGCCAACTGGGCCAACTAGTGCTGGAATTCCCCATACGTTGCTCTTCAGGATTGAGGCTATTGGGTTTCCAACTTTTAGGCTTCTACTGTAGGGCTTGGGGTTTGCGAAGGTGTATCCAAAACAGCCTTCCCTGCAATGTGAATGTGTGTGTGTGTGTGTATGCATTTTTGTGGTCATGCCGGATTCTGAGCTGAGCCATACTGCACAACTAGGCATCGAGTTGGGGACACTTGTTAGTTTCCCTTCTTGTTTAGAAAGCCCTAATCATGATGAATTTTGGGGAGGCTTTCGAAATCGACACCTACCCATAGGCCTCATGGTACTTTCTTTTTGGGATTACCTTGCAGCGTTCCAAAAATGAACACCCAAAAAAGGAACTACTATGGGTAGGTTTGACTTCCCAGTTCTCTGGTGCAGGCTTGGCATCAGGTCCTGACGCTCCTTGCGCCGCCTCATGGCTCGACCGTTTAGGGTTTAGGGCTTAGGGCTTAGGGTTTGGGGTTGAGGGTCAAGGGTTTAGGACTGCTGTGTGCGATTGGAGGATGAAGCGATTATTTAGCTCGAGGCTTTGGGGTTTAGAGGCTTTGGGGTGTGGAGGGGTCGAGATTTGCTGGTGAATATGTAGGACAGTGTAGGAGTGTGAAGTTGAGGTGTGCCGCCTGCAAGAAGTTCTTGGTCGGTAAGGGGTTTCAGTTGGAAGGATCTCCTTGTCAAGTAGCCGCAGCCACTCTCAACCCCGAGCCATCAACCCATTTGAATTACCCAAGGCCTACACCTGTGAAGCCAAAGGCCTTAAGCCTTAAGCCTAAGCACCAGCCGCCGGCTTGCTCTCCAGGTTGTCGCCGATGCTTGGTGCGATGACGAACCTTGGCACCGTCATCGCACAATCTCCGATCCAGTTGAATCGATGATCCGGCACCGCATGTGGTCGGATTTTGTGTAGAGGATTCATAGGTTATATTACATTAAAGTGCGTAAAGTTTAGGTAAGTAGCAGTTAGACTCTCGTATTCCTTAGTCTGTAGCCCGGTTCTCAGCCGCAGCACCGAAAGAGACGACTTCTGGATCCAGGAGCCTTCTGTTGATCGGGTATACCTACAGTCTCCCTTGTAGTTCCCTTTTTGGTTCGCCAGGTTTAGATTTCAGGATCCTAACCATAAGGCTGGTTAACCAAAAAAGAACTACAATCGAGACTATAAGTATACCTACATCTTATGGAAGGCTGTACCCTATAACAAACTATTTAGTCATAACCTACTACTACTGTGTTGGGTCTGGGGCCGGAGGTAGCTAAGCCAAACTTAGTGTTCAGGGTACAAAGCCAAACTTAGTGTTCAGGCTACACCAGTGGGTACAAGTAACCCTAACCTTTGCCTCTGCACATTGAGATGACGGACAGGAACGGCCTCTGCATTTGCGTCGGAGCGCTCGGCTGGCGCCTACGTCGCAGGTAGATGTCGACTTGTGCCTTCTTGACTCCTGCAGACTCGAGCCAGCGAAACTCTTTAGGGTACCTAGACCTGAGATCCTAAACACCAAGGTCCACGGTTTTTAGGGGAGGATTAGGTGAAGAGGGGTTGACGGGCTTTAGTTTCTTGCGGTTTCGCGTCCCGGCGTATTGCTGTAGCACCGAAGCCTTAAGCCCCAAATAATTGTCACTCGTGTCCTTTTCTAGTTCTTAATTTATACGCACAAAGATATGTAAAAGGCATCAGCACCTTTTCTTGTCCTTACGAGCCCTAAGGGGCCCCATTATCTTAGGGGTGTTCCGGATTGAGGCATTGGGAGATTCTTGTTGTAATCTGAATAATAAATAACATCCCCCCACTACCATTCTGTTGTTTTGGGTGCCCCATGAAAGTCCGAAGCACTACCCCCTAAACCACTCTAAACCAAATCCAACCGAAGCCCTAAATTCTATCAAAACCTGAGGTCACCCTAAACCAGGACCCAAATTCGCTATCAAACCCTGAAGCCACCCTAAATCCTTCAACCCTAAACCACCCCAAACCCTGATCCAAGTTGGTGCCTCAGGTTTGTAACGATGCAGTATTTTTCCCTAGTCGTGCCCCACGAAGGCGCCTCGGCATCCATTCTGGTGGGTTTAGGGTTTAGGGCCCTATAAGCGCTTCGGATTTGGGGTCTTAGGCGTCTAGGGCTTCGGGTTTGGGGGTTTTGGGGTTCGGGGGTTTGGGGCTCTCAGCTTAGACTCTACAGTTTACGGTGTCAGGGTGGGGGGCCTCTAGGGCTTTGAGGCTTAATCCTTATAGCTCGCATCAATTCGGCACTACAGACCCTAAGGCTCCATGCACCCATGTAGTATATACTTGGGCCTTATAAAGGGGCTCCTGTGTAGGTACTTTGAGGCCGAAGTGTATACGATATGGTTACATGGAGCCTTAGGGAGAAGTTCCTGGCTTGTTCGAGGTGTTACAAGGGTTCTAATTTAAAGGGTTTGCAGCTGTGAGGTTCAAGGCCACAGACCCTACTTGGAGGATCATGGGACTTAGTAAGTAGGGTTATAGGTACTTTAAATGGGGTTATAAGTAATTGTAAGTATAGTTACCATCATTATAACCCTAGTTACTAAGTCCCGTGACCCTTTAAGTAACCCAGCTTGATCCTCGAAACTTGGATTCTCACCAAATGCCCGAATTTGCTCCAAAAACCTCGACTCTCACAATTCGGGCCTGCACACTAAACCTCACAAACCCTAAGCCCTATGAACCCTAAACCCCAAATATATCTTCGCGCTCGGAGCTCTCAATCCACAAGCGAGTCAACTCTGCCCCCCACATGGCAGCCAGAGCTAGGGCTTGAGGTTTGCGCAGGGTTGGGGTCGAGAGCCACACTTTCTGCCCCAACAACAAGCCCTGGCCTTATTATATTAGCCAGAATCCAGCAACCTACACGCACACCACGAGACACAAAGCTCTGTCGCCACCCTTGCATGCAGACCCCCACACCCTGAAGTCCCAAACACTGGAACCCCAAGCCCGAACCCTAAACGCGATACCCTTACACCCCCAACCGGAAGCTCTGAGAATAGAAAATGCAGACCTGAACCAACTCATTCCCAAACGCCAAAGCCTGAACCAACCCTAAACCCTAATCCAATCCTAAACCCTTCACCCTCTACATGGGTGTTTCCGAAAACTAGGGGTACCTTACTTTGGGGTCCTTATAATAAGGACCCTACTATTTCGGGTACTATATTAGAGTCCGCTCTTTTCGGAAGCTCCCAGATCACCCAAGGCTTTAAGTCCGAGTGCAAGAAGTGGCAGGAGAGCCTTTGCTGGAAGGAGCTTACAACTTCCAAGGGTGCCGGTGCAAGTCTCTCAACAGGGGAAAAAGGAGGGACCCTTAGTGGGGACCCCTACCCTATAATGGGCTATATGATGGTCATATCATAGCTATCTTAAGGGTATATACCTGGGAGTCCTTATTAAGGGTCCCTCCTTTTACCGTTAGGGTCTCCTGGTGTTGTCTGGACGACGGTTGATGATATAAATCCTGCATTACCCATAACAAGGAATATACTGTAATTCCCATAGTTTAGTGTCCTTAAGGTGATGCAGAGTTATGTCATCAACCGTATCTCTTGCAAAGTTCTCGTCTACTAAAGGGTTTAGACAGGGTTTAACGGAGTATACTACAGTTTTCAGCTCTTTCTGAGAAACTCTACCACTTCGATGCGAGGCGTGGTGTGGCTTTTGAACAAGTCCAACATGCACCCGGGCCTGTATGAAGCTCATTGGGATCTCCCCGTGCAGTATAGCAGACGAAAGACTTCGCGGTTCAGGGACACAGCTGCCTCAACACTAATTACAGTTCCAAACCTTAAAAAGGCCGGAACCCAACCCAAACTAAACCTTGAAATCCTGAAGATAAAAGCCCTAAACCCGAAACCCCGCAGGCCGTAGTTCCGCAACTAAGCCTCGGCCATAGATCTGAGCATCAATAGCCGCTGTCACCCAGCCCTCCACAAATTTTGAGGTCGGAATAATTACTACTTGCAAGCCGTATGCCCTTGTAGTCCCGATAGATAAACATACTACGGCCTAAATCCTACCAGTCTCCCGACACCCCTGGCCGATGGCATCGAGGGCAGATGTTGGTATTTTGAAAAGGGTGTACGTATTATGTGTTCGAGCTTCGGTTTAGGGGTTTAGGGTTGTAGCTTCGGTATAGTATAGACTGCAGTTTACGGTCGAGTCTACACTTTCGGGCTCAAGGCTTCAATATCAGTGTTGGGTTCCGGGGTTGGGTTTCCCCCATGTCGCGCCGTCCAGCACAACTGAATTTCGAACTCAAGTCGCACACCTGACACCCTGAGACTGAAATCCTAATCCCTGGGAAGAAGCCCTACAACGTAAACACTAAACGGGAGCGTCCGAAAATAGGGGACCCTAATATACTACCCTAACTAGTAGGATCCTTATTATTATTATTATTATTATTATTATTATTATTATTATTATATATATATATATATAAGGACCCTAAAATAATTAAGGTACACCTAATTTTCGGAAACTCCCAAACCCTAAACCTGTGCCCCAGGGCCCCGGCCCGCTGCACTGCCTGAGGTAGTTCATGTTCCGCCTTTCTTCGTCGGCGCACTGGACAGTCGCATTGTGCCAGGGTTTACGTTATATAGGGTTTAGGGTAGCTGTCATCCGGATTTCGAGAATATCCTAAAAACATAAACCTCGACTTTGATGAGGGCACAGGACGCACCCCCGGCATGGGGCTTAGAAACTAAACTAAACCGTAGGCCCCCCCCACACTCATGGAATTGAGGGGTGAAGGGTTTGGTCCCTAAGCCCTAAAACCCTAACCGTTTATATGACTATGGTCCGTGGCTTGGGGGTTCGAGATGTCGGGTTACTGCCAGAATCACCTGCAAAGCTTATAGACCCCTATACCGTTGGCATCCCTCAGCCCGCGACCCAAACCAATGAAGCAGGACCTCTTCATCCGACCATCGTCCCTGCTGACGCGCGCGCTTCGAATGTCTTCGTGCTTGCAGTTTGGGGCGACATGCCTGCAGACAGGACGTAATAATGACCTAATTGTAAACCCCGAGAAAGCTTTCTGTTCATATCTCCATATCTTTACATGGTTTATCGAGCATGATGTCCCACAAAGGATGAAGGGTTCAGACCCCAAACCCGAAAGGTTTAGGGTTTAGGAGCCGAGCCCGAAGGGTTTGTTTTAGGGGCGTTGGGGTAAGGGCTTCAGGGATGGGATCAGGGTCCAGGGGTTTTTGCGGTTGGACACCTGCAACCCTAACTCCAAGCCATAAAGCGTCCAGCTGGTTCTTCCGCTGAGGCCTTCTATGGCCGACCCCTCAGCCGTTGTGGGGGTGGTCTAGAGAGTTCAGACGTTGGGGGCTTTGAAGGATGACTACAGCGGTCTGCCTACCGTTCTTTCTCCTAAATATACTTACAGAGGCTGCCTCACGGCGTTCCTTCCTGCATGTACGCTGTAATATTCCTCGAAGGGGTTTAGGGTTTCGGGCTTTCGGATTCAGGGGATGCTTCCGACGAAGATTGGCAGTTGCGCGGTTGAGGCTCATAAGGTTCTGCAGGCTTTCGTGGATTTAGGGATTTAGGCTGCAGAACTTTGGGGTTTTGGGAGTTTCAGGGTTCAGGATTTAGGGGGTTCCGGGTTCAGGATTATTTGTCGTCTTGTTGGGCGTGAAGGATCTTATCTATTGACATGCGTCTGATTTTGCAAACCGCCCATCCTACGAAAGTTCCATAATCTGAAGTGCTACGTAGATGTTCGTCTTGTTGATGGTTTCGTCGTCGGTTTCACTGCATTGTGAAAGAGCACAGCGGAATGCAGAGTTTCGGGCTTAGCGCGGAAAACCCTAAATTTCGGGATGTGGAAGTACGGCAACCTCGAGGTGTCGGAGCTCAAGGAAAGCTCCTCATCTTTGAACATCTTCCAACCTTCAAACGAGACTTTCCGAAAAATAGGGGTACCCTATTTGGGGGTCTTTATAATAAGGGTCCTACTATTTAGGGTACTATACTAGGGTCCCCTATTTTCGGAAGCTCCCAAATAGGGCTCCAGGGGAGTTAGCACAAAGCAAAGCGGTAAAATCAATGAAGCATATTCCTCATCTCTGCACGTCTTTCGGTTTTGCTATTTGCACAGCTATCTGGGTGTTTCAGAAGTACGGGGCCCTTGCAAGAGGACTTTAATGCTTGATAGGCTCCTGACTATAAAGACGCCTAAAGAGATGTTCCTAAATTTCTGAAACTCCCACAATGGATCCCAGCTCCGTGTCTCGATGGCACTTTAGCACGGAGTACTTGGACCTTAGAAGCTAACCTTAGCCCTGCACCATAACGTGGCATAGGGCTTCTTCAAGGTTGTGGCTTTGCGGTGTTTGAAAGATCGTAATTTACAGCAGTTTGTCAGAGTTGAGCTGGGTGCCCAAGTGAATGTCGAGTTCACGCACAGTTGTGGTGTACGTCCTCGTCTTCATGGGCAACTACCAGCTGACAGGGAAGTGGCCCTACGCGTTCATGGACGCCACTTGGATGTAGCTTATATAGGGTACGAAGCTGGTAAACAAGGCTTGCAATGCAGAGGTCCGAACACTTGGCGCTACATTGGGGGCTTGGGCGTTTTGAGAGTTTGTAACCTCAAGCTACTGGTTTCAAGATGCTGGTCTTCGGTTGGGGTCTGGGCGGTGGTGGCTTAGAGCTACTGGCCCGAAGAGCTCTTAAAACATGGAGTGCCCACAGACGAGATCCTAGCCTCGAGTAAGATACCCTCAACTTGAGACTTACGTTCCGAAGTCCCAGCCCCAACCCCGAAACCTGAGGCATAACCCAAAAGTGGGGAAAGGATCATAGTACCTCCCAGCTCCGTTTTTCACCTTCATGGCCTACACCGTATGGGTGGCTGTCAACATCAGGGTTTTTTGGGGGGTACCCTAAATATCAAGCGCCGTATTATGATAAGGACCCAAACATGGACCATGATTTTGACAATCACCCGTATGGAACTCTAGAGCCCTCAAGCCTAGTCCCAAACTGCATCGAGGACCCAACAACATTGCCCAACACCAGGGCCAAAGCCCAAACCCGAACTAAAAACCTCTACCTATAGGCCCCATCGTAGTTCCTTTTTGGGAATGTCTTAGAGGGCTCTAAATCTGAGCCCCAAAAATAGGAACTACTATGGGGGCCTATGGGTAGATCCAAATCTTAACCTTTGATTAAACCATGAAGCCTCGTACACCCAAACATACAGTAGAAGCCAGAAAGTTGGAATATCATTATCGTAACCCCTTTAAGGTAAATTATAGGGGATCCTACCATTAATCCATATTCCAACTTTCTGGAGTTCCCTTTAAAGCTCAAGGCCTGAATGTCCCAAGCCCCGAACCTCATGAGGGGGCATACATGCGCCACAGGTCCCTCTACCTGAAATTGCTGTAAGACGGGGTTAATATTGCATTGTATGGTACTTGGACTTGAACCTGTTTGAACGGTTTTGACGGGACGAAATGATTCCCAGCCAGGCCTTTGGCACGAATGTGGCCAAATGGGCGAAGTTCATCACGATGCAGGCATCTTTTTTGTTGGGTTTCTGCAGTTTCTCAGTCTTTCAGGGGATTATGTGGCTGAGTATACCTACTTTGAAGCAAGGGGATCAGCAAACGCGTGTTTTAGGATCCCAGAGGATCGTGGACTTCGACACTGGTGTGTGGGGTTCCTGACTAGCAGTTTCTGAGTGAAACTGTACGTCATTCGTGCTACAGGCTGGGCCTTCCCTTCTTTGCTTTCCCGAGTTCGGCCAAAATTCCTAGACCCAAACCCCCAAAATTTTACAACATACCTGCTTGAGGGGTGAGGAAGGCAAAAGCGAAGCACAACACCCGCACAAAAATCCTAAACACCGAGCTCCAAATTCTAAGCCAAAGTCCCCGACTGGCTCACAGCTGCAAAGCCTAGTCCATGCGCAACAAGATTGAAGTAACAAAGCTCCAAGACCCCAACAGAACGGGTCAGGGTTTTCCCGGCTTGTGGCTCATGGTATCAATGTGGATCCCTAAACACCATGAAAGCTGGTCATGCTCATGACCATCATCATCATGCCTCCAGAGTGAGATCGCGTAACATAATCCAAGCAAGAATCAGGCCCCCCCATCCGCAATCCACAATTAATTAAGGCCTCTACTGCTAAGCCTTTGCTGTAGGGACAAGGACCATGGGTTCGTTCTGTTCTGCTCAGACTTAGGGCATATGTAGTGTGATATTGATTTCAAGCGTAGAGTCGAAGGCCTTCCAAGACCCCAACTGCTGCAAAGCTCACATCTGTTCGTCTTAGTGCTACGTAAATTGTACTTGTGCAGTCCCTGCATGTGATTCCACTTTAATATGCCAAGCCCCATACTATCACTAAGCAAGGGCCCTATATCAGGGTTGGGTTTTGGAATTGCCGGAGAGCCCAACAGAGCATCCCAGGATTACAGTTTTGTGTGGTACGAGGTACTTCAAGATAAAAACCATAGCGCGGCTGCCTTGTTTTTCCTTGTGGGTTTCGGAGTCTGGGAATTCTTAGCCTGCTGTTGCTGTTGTTGTTGTTGTTGTTGCTGCTGCTGCTGCTGCTGTTGTTGTTGTTGTTGTTGTTGTTGTTGTGGTGGTGGTCTGCATTTGGGAGTTTCCGAAAATAGTGGATCCTAATAAAGTACCCAAACTAGTAAGATCCTTATTATAAGGACTTTAAAATAAGGTACCCCTTGTTTTCGGTTTCTCCCATTTAGTTTCGGGTTTAGGGTGCTTAAGCTTCGGATTAAGCGGTTCTGCTTGGGGTTGCGGGAGTTGGGTCCGGGGTTCGGCTGTGTTCATCCCGAGGCGCTCCTGATCATCGCCATTATCATGGTGAACTGGGTCTTGTATTGCTTGAAGTCCTCCTTTTTCTCCTGAGATGACAGCAGCCTGAAAGCATGTGAGTCAACCCGCAAGCCGCAGTCTGCGGATTGAAGTATGTGTTGAACCGAGATAGCTACAATCATCACTCGGGGTTCAAGAGTATTTTTACATTACACATGACTTGTACATAGCCCGAACGGGCTAAGCTCGAAACCCAAGACGCTCAAGTTTAGGCCCTGGTATCATTGAGCAGCGTCGGGCTCTGGCTCGCAGGCTTTGCTGCCTTCTCACAGACTGTCTGCCCGATCCAGACCACTATCCCTTATCCAGAACTATAAGGTATATATACATGTTGGAACCCGATATGGAAATATGAGTTTTTGAAGACTTTCGGATTGAGTGGTTTGGGTTCGGAGTTCGCATCCGCAGAGTTGTGTTGCATCGGGTTGCCGATTGCTCGCACGCTGCTGCCTTCCGACGAGATGATCGTTTGCGCGCTTCTGCCGAAATCGGTCAAAGCTGGTCATCTTAGATGTTTCTATATAGGTTTTTCAGAATCAATCCCCCAGGGATTAAAGCAAATAATGTGTTACCATGGCTTTTATGGTGCTGAAGTCAATGTATGCTGTAGGGCAGCCTTTTTCCTCGGGTTCCTTATTATGACTTACGACACAAATCTCGCATTGGACAGCCCGATTCTCACAGTGCGGAAGGAACCCCCAACACCAAATCCTCCACTTTTCAATTGAATCCTAAGCCGTGAAAATGAGAAAGTGTAAATGCTGACCCGGGCCTCGGACGAAGTAAGCTGATGGCAGCGATGTCAGGGTAACAGAATAGGGTTCGGGGTATGTGATAGGCGACATGTAATCAGGAACCCTACTTGGCCCAAACGCTAAACCATCCTAAGCCCTAAACCCATAATTCGAACAGTTGTTCCAGCTTCGAAAAGCGCAGGAATAATGCATTGGGAGCCTGCGTCTGCAAACTCTAGGCATCAAGGCTACATTGAGGTCCACGACCCTCGATTTTCAGGGGGAGGGGTTCCTTAGTCTATCTATTAGTAGCCAAGGTATCTTTAAAATGGTATTTGTAGCAGTTGTTGAGGTTCTTCATATCCTTGTTTCCAAGGTGCTCTGGTTGCTCTAGGCAATATAGGAGCCTAAGTGATTACCAAGATTAGGTTCCTTTCAAAAACAATACTATAGCGGAGCTTCAAAAGTTATTAAAGCTATCAAGGTGCCTACATCCCTAAATCCCCTATAGAGCCCTTATAACCCTTGAAGGGCCCCTGAATGGAACCCTACTACAATTATCGAGGCCCCTGCATGTTTCAACCTCAAAGCCGTCAAACACACCGCAGATGCAGGCGCTCGCTCGGCAAAGCGCCGAGGTCGCAGAGCTTCAGCGGCGAGTGGATCACGGCTATCAGGACTTTGATTGAAGACACGGTTTAGCGTTTGGGGATTTAGGGTTTAGGGTATGGGGATATGACTTTCTCTAAGAAGCCAAGTACCTAATGACTCCCTCAAATAGTAACCTACAACAGTACTATCTGCAGCCTTTGGACCCTTATAGGGTTTGGATGGCCAACCAAAGAAAATACGAGTATGAAGGATTCAAAGGCCTGAACGACTAGTAATCAAGGTGCCTTGTTCTGGATGAGTTTCTCTATAAGTCGCGCACAATCCTCCCCAAAAACAAAACCTGTTCCAAACATTTAGAGTTGTTCTTTAATCTTTTGAATTGTAAAGCCACTATATACACTTTAAACGCTATATGAATCCTCCTTAAGCCCAAACACAACCAGGCGGCCAAAATCCTGTCACCTCAAGCGACAGGAGCTGAATCTGGATCGACGGTCGCTGCATGCGCTGGAACTAGGACGGGATTCCGATTTATCCTCGGGGCCTTGATAGCTGGGCACCTTAACGTAGTCTCTCTCTCCCTCTCTCTCTATGTATATGAACATATACATATTACATACCCACATCTATACATGTATTTACGTGCATACATACATACATACATTCCTTTTTTGTACGTACATACATACATACATAAGCTTAGTACCCCCAAACCCTCCTCTGATTCTTAAGCCTCGTCTCATCCGCTTCAGGCAGAGCTTTCCTTGAAGCTTGAGAGCTTGTGTTTGATCGCTTTAGCTTCTTGAGGACTAGGGCCACTAGGGCTTCCGTGCTGTGTTTCCACATTGAGCACTGGGCTCTAAACTCAGCTTTAAGTTTAAATGGCATGCCGGAATCTGTGAGAACACACCATGAAACCCTAAACCCCTGAATCCTAAGCCTCAGAGACTTGACGGGTCGGCCACACATGGCTTTTGACATGTTGACCCGGCAACTAACACCCTAAACCTGAGTATATCGGACTGTTGCGTCTTTGCGGTTACAGGCATCTTTGCATTGAGGACAAGCTTGGATTTTCAGTTTGCGTTCAAGTTATCCTGACGGCTGCCTTGCACGGTCGGCAAGAAACCCCAGAAGATCTGCGAGACCTAAGCTTCAGGGTGTGCCCTCCTCTCACTTCCTGCCGAAGCCTTATTCCAATCCCGCTACACCTAATACAGGGGCCTAAATAATTACCAATACTATTTCGGTGGTCCCTTATTATAGTCATAGTATGATGGGCCCCAAAAACCCTATTCTAATTGTTAAGGCCCCTATATTAGACGACAATCCTTGACGCTGTGAGGACTCGATCGGCAGCAGCAGAGCCTCGACATTCTCCAGGGAGAAAGTGCGCAGACCCGGCCTCGGCATTGATCCAATCCTCCAAACGCTTGGGGCAGCTTAGGTTGGGCTTACGAGTGCAGGCAAAGGCAACACATGCACTGACCAATCCCTGCAGAGAGCCGTGCTCTTTGCACGTTTTCTATCTTAATTAGCAAGGACCTAAATCCCAAAATGAACCCCAAGACTTAAAACCCTAAACCGGGAAATGCGCAGCCGCGGGTGGAAATTACGGGTCGGCCACGCCACGCGCAAGGCTGCAGGCCGAGCTTGACCAAGTTCGGCAGCGCTGGCAGGACGCTGACAGGGAAGAACCTGGTTCCATCTGGTTCCCATTTGAGGGCGGAGAGCTTACCGCCAAGCCCGCAAATGCAATCAAGCATTGAATCCCAGATTACTCCATGCTGCAACCGCTAACCCCAAACTCGCAAACCGCTGCTGCAGGAGCAGGTGGCAAAGAACAGTGGTCTCAGCGCTGAGATCGCTCGTCATCGCAAGGCAAGGCTGCTTGGTCTTGGTCGGTGGGGGTGCCTCTAGTTTGAATGCCATAAGGGACGTACAAGGCTAATCATGCGGTTCTAACCCTAAACCCTAAAATTTCAAACTCTCATGAAGGGAGCACCGTCTATCTCCACAGGAGCAGCAAAATTTGGGTGATCCTTGTGGGAGCCTCTTTCGGCGATCCGAATGGGCTCCCAATTTGCAGAGCCACTTGTGGTAATCCCGAAGGCTCCATGTAGCCATATAGTATACCCTTAGGCCTCAAAGTACCTATGTAGGAACCCCTTTAAAGCCCAAGTATATACCATATTATATGGGCACATGGAGCCTGAGGGAATGAGGTTCCAGGGCTAGCAAGATTTGGGTCGCCGATCCTGACCACCCTAACCCTACGCCACCTGCAACCCAAACTTGCACGACGTACACCCTACATGTATTGAGTTCTTGTTCAGGAGTTTAACTTATAAGTTACCATCATAATCGGGGTCCATAGTAAATAACATGGTGTCCTTATTATGGTCAGGAACCCCAGTGCAAACCCGCCAAATCCTGCACGGACAGGAGTGGGCAGAGAGCCGAACTCAGCCAGCGTTGCTCCAGGCGGCGATCGGAGGCCCCTGTGTGGCTTTTGCCCGAAACATGCACCATAGGGGCCTTAACAATTGCCACTACTGTTTCTGGAGGTGCCTTAGCCTTATTGTACTTGCCTGGACCCCAAAAGTATGTATATAGAATAGCAGCTCTTTAAAGGTTTTGGACCATTCTGGTATCCATTTTTGGGGGTTTAGGTTTATCATATTATCCACCAAATCCTGGTCTAATTATCGAGGCCCCTACAGTAAGGATCAGGTCCTTCAGCATACATGGAGTTGATACTTCAGAGTTTTATATAGTAGTATTTTGGGATTCACCGGTTTTTGGCCGGGGTGCTGCCTTCAATTTGCAGGCTGTGCCCAACCACACCCAGCCTGACGAAGATATCCTGTACTTAAGGGATAATCGGGCTTTCTTTTGTCCCGGTGTGGCTCCTCGCTTGGCTCCTGCGACTCGTCCCCCTCGTTGTCCTAGCCTCAAGCTCTATCCCCCCCAAAAACTGTCCATGCCCAAGTCTTAGGCCCTCCACCGTCGAAGCCCCAGCCCTCGAACCTGCAACATCCCGTAAACCTTGAGCTGTCAACCCCAAAGGCCCTAAAAGCCTTACAGACAACCCCCCCAAAGTAGGTAAAATAATGGCCCAAGACCCCAAAATGGGCCATTATTCTACATAATGTTTGGGTCCAGATAAGCCCTAAATCATCGCAAGTTCTTGGGAGGATCAGCCTCCGAGGCAGAAGCTATCGAGGAGCAGGCTCCCTCACGGCTTTATCTTAAGAAGCTCTTTGAGATTGACTACCCATAGGCCCCATTGTAGTTCCTTTTTACTACTACTACTACTACTACTACTACTACTACTACTACTACTACTACTACTACTACTACTACTACTACTACTACTACTACTACTACTACTACTACTACTACTACTACGACTGCCACTACTACTACTAGGCGCCAGGCTCCTAATTGATCGTGGTGTTTTCGGGCATGGTGATGCTTGCTGAAGGCAGCTTTTGTACTGTGTTTTACAGCACTTTCGCGTCATGGACCATATCATGCTGCGAACTCCTGAGGGCCAGAATTCCTGGGAAACTACTTGTTGGATGACGCAACAGGATCTTATTTGATCGTGTGGTTCCTTTTGCTTGAACTAACACCGAACGTGTTGAGAAGACGCGAAGTGCTGTAAAATACAGGACATCATGTGTCTAGGCAGCCGTGGTTTTGCTCGTGCGCGGACTTTAGGCAATGCTACAAAAGCGGTGAAACTAGTTACTAGTTTTAGTGGCGTTCCGACGCGCAGAAGAACATGATCTCACTATTATATTACATCTCACGTGTTTCTCTGCATACGTACATACATCCATTGGAAGACAAACATCTATAAACATACTTGTGTAGACATAGTCCGTGCTGTTGATTTCTTGGGTTCGCATCGGGAGAAGGACTGTTAGCAATCACTGAGAAATCAGTAGGAGTAGGAATTGAAGGATGCCTTTTCATAGTTGTTTGGATGCATCAAAGAGGCTGCAGGATAGCAAGGCACGACAATGAAAACGGGTTACACTTCTCGATTTGTGCACCATCTGCCAAAAGCCAAGATTTCATGTCCAGCAGCAAGAGGTGTATATATATATATATATATATGTATCTGTATATATGTATATATATACATATATACACACACCTAGATATATACGCGCAAGTCAAACTCAGCTGTCGTGTTTAGGGTTTAGGCTGAAGGTTGAGGCTTCGGTGAAGAAGTCACACATGTTGTGCTTGGAACAGGACGTTAAAACCCCCCCACCCACCCCAACCCCCCCCCCACCCCCCACCCCCCCCACCCCCGTGAAGCAGTTTGACCTGCGATCAAATAAGGGCGCGTAGGGTACTACTACTACTACGACGACGACGACTACGACTACGACTACGACTACGACTACTACTACTACTACTACCACCACTACTACTACTACTACGACGACGACGACTACGACTACGACTACGACTACGACTACGACTACGACGACGACGACGACGACGACGACGACGACTACGACTACGACTACGACTACGACTACGACTACGACTACTACTACTACTACTACGACTACTACTACTACTACTACTACTACTACTACTACTACTACTACTACTACTACTACTACTACTAACTACTACTACTACTACTACTACTACTACTACTACTACTACTACTACTACTACTATCACTACTACTACTGCTGATGATATAAATCCTGCATTACCTTAAGGACCGTAATCTATGGGAATTATGGTATGTTCTGTATTATGGGTAATGCAGGATTTATATCATCAACCGTAGTAGTCCCTTTTTGGGGTTCATATCTAGAATCCTATAGGGTAACCCCAAAAGGAAGTAGTATGGGGCCTATGGGCAACTCGTACAATTGCGCAAACCAGGCACGTGTCGGCTTTTTTGTCCTGATTCTTGCCACGCTTAGGTCTTAGGAAAACACAAAGCGAGGCTGTTGATAATATTGTTATGGTTTTGGGGTTTGGGGATTTATTTGGTTTCGTCTGGGGCTGACATTTCGGAAGCTTATCTGACAGCCGGGGCTGTTTGTCTTGGGCCTGGGGTTCGGATGGTTTTGTGGCGTGAGTACGTGTGAGGCGGGGCTGCTGTTGATAGATTTTGGGTGAAGGGCTCAGGCTTTCAAGAGTAGCACGTCATGTTCCTGTTTCGCTTCGTTTTCTCGGGTGTGGCTGAGAGTGCCGCGTCTTGCGGGAGTTTCGTCATCCGGGTGTTGAGGCTTTGAGGACTTCGGGCCCAATCAATCACAATGTGGCGGCCGTTGTACTCGGCTGGCCTCGGTGGGTTTGTGTGGTTAGTTGGGTCATTCGATTAAGAAGGGTCCTAGCTGCATCTAGGATACGATGATATAGGAGTCTGAACCATGTTTTTTGAACTTTTTTAGACTGCGGGAGGATGGATTGTAAGGTGCGACTACATCGCTTTCGAGTTAGTAGGTCTTCCCGACGGGTCCAAGAATTGCAGGACAGGACTCTCAACTCCCGTCGGGCTTATGCTCACGTTGAAAGCTGACACAGAAACCGCTAAACTCCAAACACCAAAGACCTATAAACCCAAAAACATCCTAAGACCATAGAGTAGCGAGAGGAAGGCAACAGTCGGAAATTCAATGTATCGTTGATATGGCTGTAGGGCAGGGTGCATGTAACCTTCCTCCATGTAAGGCCTCGCCTTAGGCCCTTTGCCTAGACTCTGAGCCCTTAAACCTCAAAGCCCCAAACCCTGAACACATAAACCCTAAAACCCTAAACCTTAAACCCTAAAGCCCTAAACCCTAAGACCCTAAACCACTAAACCCTAAACCCCTGACCCTGAGCCCTTGACAGCGGCGAGTCAGGTGAAACTCTGCCGAGTGCAGCTCTCTGGTTGCACTGACTGGCTCCATTTAGGGACCCAAAAACTGGGCTTTGGAGTACCATACATTAATACTTTTTTCGAAAAGGAACCATTATGAAATGAACGTTTACATTTTTTCTCCCTGGTTACTCAAAAGCCCAGAAAAGCACATAAGCATAAGCATTTTACCGGGATGTCCCTACCTTATTGGGCTTCCTTTTAAGGGGGTTTATATGGGATATCCCTATCCTAGTTCTTGCTCTTGTTCTTTTTTGGGGCCCCTATCCAAGGTCTACCCAAAGGCCCCAAAGTAGTTCCTTTTTGGGAGTATCTTATAGGATTCTATATATGAGCCCCAAAAAGGAACTACTTTGGGGCCTTAGGGTAAAGTATTGAGGGTTTAGGAGATCAGGGCTTTTGAGGTTTTGGACATTCAATGTTTCAGGAAAGTTTCAGGGTTTCTGGGTTGAGGAGACAAGGGGGTTTTGGGTTGGACATGCAATGTTTCAGGGTTTCGGGGTTCAGGAGATAAGAGGCTTTTGGGGTTTAGGAGAATCAGGTTTGAAGGCTTTTGGATATTCAGCGCCTCGGAGATTAGAGGTTTTAAGGTTTTGCAGGCTATTATGGTGTTAGGGTCAGAGTTGACGGTTTGAGGAGCGGTTCAGTCTCTGACATTCTCCAGCGCAGGGTTTGAGGCAAAATCCCAGAGCTCGATGCGCCTGGGTGGAGGGTTTGAGCTTTAAGGTTGAACGGTTTATGTAGGGGTTCATAGGATTTAGGGCTGAAGGTTCATATCAGGGCTTAGGGTTCATATTCGGATGATTTATAGGGTTTGGGGCTGAAGATTTCGGCGCACGGCCGGGTGAAGTTTTAGCGGCCTATCATGCTATTGTTTTGGACAAACACAAAGGGATGCCGAAGGATCACTGTAATCACTGTAGCATCCCTCAAACCGTACAGGGACCCCAACCACTTGAAGAAGCCACAAACCAACCCCAATCTAATATGTAGCATACCATAAACCCTACATATATATATACACACACACCCAAATCTTTTTTGCAAGTTACCATGATGCCGAAGGATCCGTGATCTCCTTGCAGAGAATGAAGCGCTTCAAAGATCTCATGCTGAGCGGAGCGCACCGGAGCCCAGCTCGTAGCAATCCCTCAAGCTCTTACAGCAGAAGCCTAAAAGCTAGAAGCCCGATAGCCTCAATCCCTAAGAGCAAAGTAAAGGGAATCCCAGCACGATTTGTCCTTAACTAGGTTTCCAACTTTTTGGAGTTTACAATCGGCTCAAAGGACATAGAGTTTAGAGCATTTGGGTTGTTTAGGGTGTAAGGCCCAAAGACCATACTACACGAGGGTGTTGGGCATCTTGAGCCTTAGGCCTTAGGTTTTAATAAGGTCCATGTGCTTGAGAAGAAGCCAAGTGCTGGCAGATCGCGAGCTGCGCAGAAATCCTTCTAAGGGCATTCGGTATTGCAGTGCTTCCTAGGCCTCCCAGTCCAAAACCTTCAACCTGTCATAACCTACATAACCTACTTTCTCCGGCCTTGGATTCCAAACCAAAAATCCCTACAAGGACGCTACCTCCAGAAGGCTGGTTAAGGCGTAACAGTGTAGCATAGGGGCTTACGTAGCTATATTTTGGGGGGTCCCTTATTCTAATTGTAGTAGAATGGCCCCCAAACCCTATTCTAATTATTAAGGCCCCGATATTACGTGCTTTGGGCCCTGGCGTCTGGTTATTTGCACCCTCGAAACCGGCTCTTAAGCACTTTGCTGCGCGATTCTTGTATCGTCTCTGTAGCCTGTAGAGTGAGAGCATTACGTCCGTGAAAGATTTGGGTCGATTTCGGAGTTTCGGGCTTGGGATCACACGATGAATCGCAGAGAAGGTCGATGCACTGAAGCTCTATAAAGCTTGCAGTTGAAGCAACCTGCATCATAGAGCACAAGACGGGATTCCAGTGTAAGGTTGAGGATTTGACAGCGTCTGAGTAAGCCGGGTTCTGTTCAGCAAGCAACCGTGAGCCCCCGACCCTTTTGTCGGACGAGGGCTTCGTCGTGTGTGCCACTGCCAGCAAGCATGCGAGAAAGAGAGCTTTCTTGGTTGACCTTTGGGCCCGGATGCGGCCCAAACCCTGAACCCTAAACTCCTAAGTATGCAGTATTTGCAGTCGTTAGAGTCCCGATGCATGTATTTGTTAATCTTTTCGCTCGAACCAGTCGAGTTGGTTCTGCGGCTCGAAACCTCTTGCCATAAAGCTCTGAGAAGTTTGCGTTGTAAGGATTTAAGATCTAGTTCAGGATGGTTGGACATTAGGTCTCTTCATAGATTAAGGGTCCTTGTATTCGGGATCCGGCGACTGTGAGTCTGTATGAGGGCGGGTTTCAATCTCCCCTACATCTCTTGGAACGAAGGTCTGGGGTTGAGGGTTAGGGGCAGCCGGGATTCGAGACCTGTTGGGTTCAAGATGCGCGCATTGCTTTTGGGGGGCTGCAATGGGGATTCTTCTCGCGATAAGAAACCACACCTTTTGCCCTGTGCTGACCAGGACAATAGGCTCAAAGGCCTATCTATTTTCTCAGCACCTGATAATTAATCCTCATATGCTCCCGTAGGGTTCATCTCCAGCACTAATTATCACGATCATATATAAACCCAACTACAGGCAAACAAGTGGCCGACATCCGGGTGTTGTTTTCTATATTTGTGGGATGGCCTTGAATCCACCCTGACTTCAGCTGTCGGGTGGCCTTTGAAGTTGTTTTTGTATATCCCTTCAACAAATAACTGCCCCTTCAAACCATCTTCAGTCTTTAGCGAACATGAGTATCTAAAGACTACAGCCGCAAGCCCAGGGCCACAGTGAACACACCCCTTTCGCTACTAGTTGTGTTGTAAGAGTGGCAAAGCAATTATTAATAAGGCGGTCGAAGAAGTTCTTGAGGTTCCCATTCATAGCAAAGTGCTCCATACGCAAAGGCCCCAAAGTAGTTCCTTTTTGGGATCACCTTATAGGGTTCTAAATATGAACCCCAAAAAAGAGCTATACTTGCTAAGTCACCAACCCCAACCCATAGCTCCGCCACGAACCGAAATCCGAAGCAGTCTCTGAAGGTTAAGGTTTAGGGTTTAGGGTTCAGGGTTTTGTATGGTTCCGGTGGTACCCGCAACTCTATCACCAAGACTGCCACGAACAGTACCCGCCAAGGGCTTACGACCCAGGTGCTCTGCGGCGGCCCCAGGGTGGGCTTGGTTCGAGATGAGGGGTTTTCAGGCATGCAGCGGTTCGACTTGGTACAAGTAGCGGGTGCCAGAATCCAAGACAAATCCGCAAGGTTAACTGGTAGAGTAAGTGGGTGCAAGAATCTAACACATAATCCACAAGGTTAACTTTTAGTTCCCCGAGGAAACTGAGCAAGTATGTTATGATTTGCATGCATTCCACTTCCGGATACGGATTCTACTCTAGGCCTTGTAGACCTTACATCCTAATCCGGAATCCCTAAACCCTACAGCTGAGCCAGAGATGGCCGGAGTTGGGGTGTTGGAGGTATTGAAAGGGATGACAATCGGCATCCTAATGTTAGTGCTTAAATGCGATGAGGGAGTATATGATGATTGGTTGCGTGGACCCATAGGGCCAAACCCCAAGCCAGCCCCCTTCAAGTCGAATGAGTTTCTAGCAGCTTCGGAGGGCCGGAGAATTTCGATCACGGCCATACAATTGCGGAAGTTGTGCCCCGGCTGCATGCCGCGTTGACAAGCTTGCAACCTGAAATGTTGGAGATCCACGAAGCGCATTGAACGCAATTCCAGCTGCAGACCCTTGAGTTCGTCGTCCGCTGGACAGCTACGCAGCAGAAGTCTCTGCGATCTGGTCTTTCAGGAGTCTCCATCTGCACACATTCATGGAGTTCCCAAGGTAGTTGATTGGACTGGCGTTAGTGCCGTGATCTTCAACGACTTGCGACCCAATGTGCAAGCAAGCCTGGAGAACTCGGTCATTTCCGCGTCCTTGGAGACACCTACAGCGCTTATCTCCCACATTTTTTCCCAGGTCATGCCCCTCACGAAGGGAGGAGACCCAACAAACAAACAGGAAATGCCTTTCCGGCGCCATAAGCTGCTTCCCTTAGGGAATCCTAGACGCTCCTAGACCCTCGAGAGCCAACGTGACAGGAATACACCCCCCCGGGCCAAAGCCCAAAAGCTTGAAAGATATAAGGGAGTTTCCGAGAATTAGGGGTCCTTATAATAAGGATCCGATAATGAGGATCCTACTATTTAGGGTACTATGTTAAGGTCCCCTATTTTCGGAAACTCCCATAAGTCCTAAAGCCCTCACACCTGAAGCACAGAGCCCGAAAGCCTAAGCCAGTCGAGTTGCATCAAGTAGCGTACCCCAAGGCCTTCTATTAGGGACCCAAAAAGCACATAATAAGCATAAGCATTTTATAGGGATATCCCTACCTTATTGGGCTTCCTTATAAGGGGGTTTGTATGGGATATCCCTAACCTAAGTTTTGCCTATGTGTTTTTGTGGGACCCTATTCTAGCTCATCATCTCCAAAACCCTAAACTCCGAAGAGAGCGGCTTGAACATTCATATGAAAGGCGGCGTCGTGCCTAAGGGTTCGCTCCCATGCGTATAGTATGACAACCCCAAATTCTGTCAGGGTTTAGGGTTCAGGGGGTATAGTGTACTTGAAGGATCATGGGACTTAGTAAGTAGGGTTATAAGTACCTTAATTGAGGTTATACGTAATTATAAGTATGGTTACCATAATCATAACTCTAGTTACTAAGTCCCATGACCCTTTAAGTAGGGTGATCCTCCGGCTCCGCTGGAAACCAGACTCCGAAGCCTCGCCTTGAGTTATGTGGGGTACCAGAGTCGTTGTTTAAGGTACCCCCCTGAACCCTAAGGCTCCATGTAATGCAAGACTTGTGTGCACTCACTGAGTTCTGCCATCTTGAAAAAAAGGCTCCATGTAACCATATAGTATACACTTAGGCCTCAAAGTACCTACATCGGAGCCCCTTTAAGGCCCAAGTATATACTATATATGGGTACATGGAGCCTTAGGGTAAACCTCCTACACCAGGGAAACGCCCCCTGAACCCCCCTACACTGCAAACCCTGAATCCCTGAACCCCCGCCTGAGATGACAAATAAACAACCCTAAAAAGCCTTAATCATCCCCTTAAGCCTTAAATCCCTAAACCCTAGTTAGGGTTTAGGGATCTAGGGTTTTTTTTTTTTTTAAGGGTCAGTGCACTTTAAAAAAAAAACCCTAACTCCCTAAACCCTAACCCCCGAAACCCTAACTCCCTAAACCCTAAGCCCCTATACCCCTAAACCCCCGCCCAACCCTAAAGGAAGCTCCCTAGGTCGGATCCCTTCCTCATCTTCTCGTGGCATCTTCACCAGTCGTCTCCAGGTGCACGGTCTTGTCTTTTTGTTGCAGTTGTTTAGGGTGTGGGGGCTTGGGGTAGGGGTTTAGGAGTTGCAAAGACTTCGGTGTTGATCAGGTTTTAGGTAGGGGTTTGGGGTTCATTTAGGGTCGTGGAATCAGATGATCAGGGATGCGGGATGGGTTCAGGAAGCAGGGTTTTAAGTTAGCAGCCAGTCCCGCTGTTGGGCTAAATCCTGCCATGCCTGATTCGGCACGAAGGCACTTATCCAACGTTCCTTATAGTCCATGTTCGTTTTGCTCAACAGCAGTAGGTATCAAGGGTCAGGATCGAGTTCTGGGCTGCCCCAATACTTAGCCGGCCTGTCCCGGTTTTGATTCAATGCTTACCCGTTAAGTGAACAGACAGTGATCATCGCAAATACTAGGCTACATTGACTACCATATTAAGTCGCAAGGCCCGATTTGTGTCGTTCTGCAGAGATTTGAGCTCTAGTTGAGGCTCAGCTTCCTGTGGAGACCCCGAGGAACATGCTTGGTCTGGCTTTTGGGAGAAAGCGTTTATGTGAGAGAGGGGTTTCAAATTTGCAGTTCGACAGTGACAGAGACGCCCTCCAAGTAAACCCTAAACCCTACTGGTTGCTCTGCTTGTTTGCTTCAGTTGGAGGGTTGGCTGGCTGCCATCTGTTGTTCACACAGCATTGGCATAGATTGACTGTGTATGCTGCTAAAGCGAGGCCCATGCACCTCCGGACTTCTACCATCTAGTCATTTTTGTCCTTGCACCCTACAACCCTCAGCTCTCAAAACCCCTGATACCCTGAACCCAAAGCTAAGATTCTGAACCTCGAAACCCTCACAGCCATCGTTCGCTGATAGGTGCGGCCAACACATCTGACGCCTGGCGCTCCGCACCCCAGGGGCTTGAGGTGCGGAGGGCTTGGGAATTACCAGGGCTTGGGATTGACCAGGGCCCTCCAAGTACCATTTACTCAATTGCTTTTGGGTGCCCGGGGTGTCTGCCGCAGAAGTTTGTTGGTTCTAAGGCGGCAACTAGCGTGTGGGGTCTAGTGTTGAGGTGGTGCGGCTGAATGCTGTTGTGGCTTAGGGCATTCTGGACATAGGGCTTGTGAAGTTTATGAGTTTATGGTTAGGTGGTTTTCGTGCTGCAAGGGCCCTGCAGTTGAGCGACTGCCTAGAAGTCAGGGGGAGGGGCCGTGCAACTGACATCGTCTACAGTGTACTGGCTGAGTTGTCCAATGCCCAACCTTTTGTCTTTATGTCGGCTCTGGTACATTTACGCTCTTGGGTTGTTGTTTTTTTGCAGGGAGGTTCTGGTTTCATTACTCGTTTTCCTGTAAAAGAGGATAGATTTGCTTACCTTGCTGCTAAGGGGAGTTGCGTCTAGTTAGCAGCTCTCCGGAAGTAACATCGTCGTATGTTCCTCCGGCTTCTGATATCTTGCAACTGTAGCAGCGGCAAGTTCTGGGACGAGAGACGCGAATTTCGTCGATAGTTCTGGATACCTACTTCCATCTAAAACCTTCCCCTCCATGCTGAATCAAGGCCAGCAAGGCCGTAAGGAAAGTCGGTGGAAGTGGTAATGACTTTTGGTGCACAGTGCAGGCTTCAGTTGTTGTCTCTGTTTTGGATCGGACGGCATCTGTCTCATGGAGATACAGTTCTTGTTCTGCACACACAAAGAGCATGCATGTCGAGTACTCGAGTTCACAGCCTAAAACCTGTGCCTTGCAGAACCCGACACCTCAGTCGACGCACCCACCCGCCCCGCCCACTCCATCCACCCTACCCATAGGCCCCATTATCGTTCCTTTTTGGGGTTCATATTTAGACTCCTACAAGGTAATCCCCCCAAAAAAAAGTACGATGGGGCCTATGGCCTATGAGTATACCTATCAGGATTTCAGTGAGGGAGTTATTCTATGAGGATATCCTTAGAGCCACTATATGCGGGTGTCTAGGGAAGGTGATGAATCCCAACAAGGAAATACTACTGTTGATGATATAAATCCTGCATTACCTTACGGAACCTAAACTATGGGAATTATGGTATATTCCTTATTATGGGGAATGCAGGATTCATATCATCAACCGTATGGGGCCTATAGCCCCAAACCCTAAACCCTAAACCCTACATGGGCAATAAGAGACCCTGGTCTATGCGCTGAAATTTGATGGCTCGGCTCGCAAGGGCTTCCACGAGGCTTGTCATGATCAGGCACGAACTTTTGAGCCGCCGCTAGGTTTGGGGTTCAGGGTTTCTAGGGTTTAGGGTTTAGGTTTGTGAGTTTAGGGCCTACGGTTTAAGGTTTCTAGGCCCTACAGATCCTACACCCCCAAACTCTGAACCTAAACTCTATAGGCTCTAGATCTTCAACCCTCAACATGGCAGCCAATCAAGAGCATCGCATACATGAGCTCCTGATAGATACGACGCCCCCCAAACAACAACCCGGATCCTTACATCTCAGAAGCGATGAAGCTGAAACGCCAAATCCCAAAGCCTAGAACGCTCAAACGAGAGTATCCTAAGCCCTGAAACCCCAAACCATGAGTTAAAGCTCGAAAGCCCTGACATCATGAATCTTCCACTCCCCTATTCCTTGAGGCGGTCGCGTTTGATGCCAAGTGCAGCGAGACGCCTGTTTTGTTCAGGACTTCCGCAGCCAGGTCGACCCAAAAGCAATTAAATCCCATCAGCCTATACCATTAAACCCTCAAACCCTACCCACCCCCCTTCCCCACCCAAGCCCCAACTCCTTTTGGGAGGATTCTCGATCACATCTACCAGCAGCTCCTTCGCATTGGCGCCATCTTCCATGCCCTCGAGGTCTGGCTTCAGTGTTTTTTCTAGGATGCCCAGTAGTACCCTTATTCCCTTTTTGTAGTCCTAGGTTCCTTATAAAGTTACCCAATACCAAAAAAGAGAGGCCTTTTTATTCTTAGGTTACTGGGTATCCTAGTTTTAGGACCGGGAACTATAGGGGCTTCGATAAGAACAATTTGGGGGGCTCCTTATTATATATACCTATGGTAGAATGGGCCTCGAACCCCTATTCTAGTTATTAAGGCCCCTATATTATTAGGGTTCTAGGGTTTGGGGTTTAGGATTGTGTGGTTCAAAGTTTAGGGTTTAGGGAGGTTTTTCGCAGCTGTTTGGGCTTTGCAGTTTAGGGCTCTATCCTATTAGACACTGGAACACCATGCCATGGAATTTGAAAGCCTTTCTGATTCATCTTCAGCCATCAACTGAGCATTTTCCGCTTCAGCATGTTCCGGAGCCAGAGTGCAGCGACAAGACATACTCATATGCAGAACAGTAGTTAGAGCAGAGGGGGTCAGAGGCAGGAACACCAAAAAGCACCACCAATTTTATATAGTATCAAGCTCTTCTTAACAGCTCGGTTCAACTATGTACATTTCGACTATAATTCGTATATGCCCTATAACGCATTACAAAGACGCAAAAAGGCAAACAAGGCTGACATTTCAGCGCAGAGGCGCGGGACGCCTCCTGGGCCCTCGACTTACGTGCCACGCTGATTTCAGAGGTCCGGGCCGAGAGTTCAGACGTTATACTTTTTTTAGTGGGCCCCAATACCCTGTTCTTTTTATGAAGGCCCTACATTAGGGTGAAGGTTTCGGGTTTCTCAACATTGGTTATTTTTCTGTTGTACAAGTGGTGCCTGGCTTCATAAACCGGGTCCCTCCTGCCCAACCTCCATTCACAGATTTGGACTTAAAGGGAACTCCAGAAAGTTGGAATATGGTTTCAGGGTAGGATACCTTAAAATTTACCATAAAGGGTTTAGGATAACCATATTCCAACTTTCTGGCTTCTACTGCATGAGATCTGGAGGTTTGGGTTTATCGGATCTAGGGGTCTTGGATGAAGGGATTGAGGGTTTAGGTGCCAGATTTACGTGTTTGGTAATCTCAGGCTCAGGGTTTTGATGAGATGGAGGTCGTGGGTATCTCGGGTTGAGGTAAGGTTTAGGGTTACTGGGTTTAATTAAGCTGTAGAGTGTAAACTCAAGCGGTTCATAGGCATGCTGGCTGAGGAGTTATTAAAGATCTGGCAGTACGGATCTGTTTTGGCTCAGACCTGCATGCCGGTTTAAGGTCTTGGATGATTTTAGGCTTTCAGGTTTTGACTGTTAGGGTTTCAGGTTTCGGGCGCATAAGGGCGAACCGTCTTTGCATGAATAATAAGCCCCGTTTTTATCGTGGGGTGACCCTTAGTGGCGAGCTCTGCAGAGCTCGCGTCGGTCGTTGAAGCCGCGCCAGTTAAATCCCGTTTGGGGTGGAAAGTTTGGCTCTTCAAGATGCATAAATCGTGACAATTAAGACCCTGAAGCCCCAAGGCCGCAACCCCCCAACTCCCCAAGCCCCCCAAGCCCCAACAGCCCCAAGCCCCCAAACCGACCCTAAACCCTAAACCCTGCGAGCTCTCAAAGGACAAACCCTCGGAATCACGGCGGAACGCTAAGCCGCCGCCACCACCGCCTTCGACGGCCCGACGTCGAGGGAGGCTCTCGAATTTTGGGGTACAGGATTGAAGTTTTTGATTGGATGAAGTGATAATAATGTAAAGCTGCAGGCCCAAATAACTACCTATGCTATTTTTGGGGGGCTCCTTCTTATAACTATAGTACAGTGGGCCCCAAAACTTAATTATTAAGGCTCCTATGTTAACCGTAAGATGCAAAGCCTAAGTTCAGCTTCCAGGGCGTGCGCCAGGGCGTGGTGTTTTTCTTTTTGGTCCAAGGGAAAAAGGAGGGACCCTTAATAAGGACCCCTAGGCATATACCCATCATATAGCCCATTATAGGGTAGGGGTCCCCATTAAGGGTCCCTGCTCTTCCCCTTTGATTTGGGGCTTGGCATCGGACTCATCCTGCATGCGCAGGGTGACCTACAAGACCGCCGCGGACAAAGTTGCCCCGGTGTCGTCCTACCAGTGCCGCGGCTTGCACTCAGAGCTGTCCGGGTGGTTGGCTGACGGAGAAGGAGTCTTCGGAGATGTTGTTTTGGGGGTCTCATCATTTGCAGATCTTGTTTCAGCTCACCGTGCGTCGGAAGCTTTGAATTCCACAGCCCTGAAGCCCTGAAACTCGAAGCTCGTGAGGCAAAGCGCCCTTGAAAGCCCATGGCAGCCAAACCCTACGCTCTAAGGCCCGAACCTTAAACGCTAAGCGTTAAACCGCTCGGGTCGTTCAGCAACGGACGCCTGGCGGACAGAGTTTCCGACAATAAGGGGTACCTTATTTTGGGGTCCTGATAATGAGGATCCTACTATGTAGGGTAGTTACTACTAGAGTCCCCTATTTTCTGAAACTCCCGTGTGTGAAGCAGCTCAAAGCCGATGCCTCAAGCTCATCGCTAGGCATGCGCACATCTCTGACGAGCTTCGGAGGCATCGCTGCTTCTTTGCATGGACCTGCACATGATAGGGTTTATAGGGTTGAGTTCATGATCTAGGGTTTGCTCTTAGTTGAGCCAGTTATCTGTAAACCCTATGGGGATGCCCAGTGATTTTGCGGTAGTTTGCAGTATTGCCCCAACTTCGGGGAGCCTTTAACCACTTTGGGATTTCCAAGATGATCCAAGGCATGTTCAGCAACATAGGGGGTTTGAGTCTCCGGGTGCAAATAGGGTATCGTTTGGTTGTCGGATGTAGGGTGTCGGTTTTTGGTTCACAAGGGTATAGGGTTTGGTGGCCTCAGGTGTTTAAGAATCCTTTGTTTAGGGTTTGGGGTTTCGGATTTAGTAGGTTTTTGGGGTTTAGGGTTTAGGGCTGAAAGTTCTGGCTAGGGCTGTTCGGCAGTATACCTCCGTAAAAACTATGGCAGTCGCGTCGATGCTGATGTTAAGGTCGAGGTATGATTGAGTGTTGTGCATCATTTCGAGCTCGAAACTCAAAAGCCCTACACCAAAACGGCATGTACTACATTCCACGGTCCTGAACATCTATCCTGAATATAAGAAGCCGCATCTCATACTCCCTACCCTACTAAAGCCCGGAACGGTTCGGATGTTGAAGCTGTGCCGGCCCATAGGCGTGTTGCCGAGGAGGAAGAGGAGGCGAGTCGGGCCGTCCTTTTGCGAAATATTTCTGTTCTCCCAGATGGGGGCAGAGGGGGTTAATTAAGGGTTGTGGCAGGGTTTAGGGGTTTGGCAAAGTTTAGGCGGCATGGGGTCTTATCATTCACAAGGGGTATTGGGGAAGCATGGTTTCTGATCTCGAGCCTTGTAGGGGAGTAGTCCTGTGCAACAGGGGGCGCAGTGTACTTTACAAGACTCACCGACCCTAAAACCTAAACCCTAACCGTCCCTAGCCCGTACGATCCCAAACCTACCTATACCCTAAACCCTGAATCCCATACCTTGGTACCTAAGTCTTGGGTACTTGGGCCCGCAAGGTTTGAGAATGGGTTGCCAGACTTTCGGTCAAGAAGTCTATTCTAGATTTAGGCTACTCCTTTGAACTACCAGAACCTACATTTTTGTAGGGGCCCTTTATAAATCCATAGTAAGGTGTAGACTAGCAGCCAATCGTCGTTTAAGGTTTAGTCTGAAGGAGTCTCGGCATTTGGAGTCTATCCGGTTTCAGGGGGTTTGGGTTCAGGGAATCTTAGGGTTTAGGGTTGAGGCTTTGGGGTTTAGGGTTTGTAGAAGGTGCAAAGGTTAGAAGGGGCCCCCACCCTGTAAAAGTGGTATAATAGGAATATAATAGGGCGCGAATATGATCCTTATGGTCACTATGACATGGTGGGGGCAGCTTCTAATGTATAGGGTTGTGGGGGGGGAGGGGGTTTCGTTGTTGCTTGTTGGCGAATTTGCTTTCGTATGTTTGTTCGCCTTCCGCCCTGCCCAGGTTCGGGTTGTGTTCTTTGGCCCTTTCGGGCTTTTCCAGGCCCAAATGTCGTGTGTTCCGCCAAACCCCAAATTTGGGTCGGGTTGGTTGGCACGTTTCCAGCCACCCCCAAACTTGGACTTGTTTGCCTTTTGGTGCCTTTCCAGCGTTTTTTGACTTGTGTGCCTTTCAGCGAACGCACCGAATGTTCCTCCATGAAACGAATGGCTAGTGATTCTACCAGCAAACCGCAGAAACAAACAAAAGCCCCTTTAGCCTGAGTCGAGGGTTTAGGGGTTTAGGAGTTACCTGGACCCCTAAAGTATGTAGAATAACAGCACTTTATAGGTTTTGCGGGGTTTAGTAAGGTCCGCAAGCATCTTGCTCAAGAGGAGAGAACGATTGAGCTGACGCGCACGGACATCGTGGGGGAGCTCGAGGACCCTAAGTGTTCTACAAGGCATACATATGAGAGTTCCCGAAAATAGGGGACCCTAACATAGCACCCTAAATTGTACGATCCTTATTATATAAGGACCCCAAAATTTAAATACGGTAACCCCCCCCCCCCCCAATTTTTAGGAAACTCCCATATATTAGAGGAGTTGTTATATTCAGACCGGTTTTGAGGTGCATGGGGTTCAGATCAGTCTTGCGCACAAGTGTGATTTGCCTTCGGGGCTCCAGAGGTCGTTTGGTATTCTTGTTGCTTTCTGTTTGGGGTTGAGGGTTTAGGATTTGCGGTCCGACGTGTAGGTGTATTGAACCTACCCAATCAGCAGTGCCAAATCAACCAAAGATAAGCGCTGGGACTGTGTGATGCGCGCACTTGATCTGGTGTGGGTTCCCGGTCTTTCCTGGTGGTCGAACCTCTACATGCCCTAAACATCTACGCATCACCCTGAAAGCTAAATCCTGCCTTATATTCCTCTCATTGGACCCTCACCATAGACCGGGCTATGCAAATCTCAACTGTGTTCCAAGTGTGAGGCCGACAGATTAGACTGTGATTTAGGGTTCAGGAGCCTGGTTGTTTGGGGTTTTGGGGGAGGTCTTGTTATTCCAAGAGTGCTAGAAACTCGAAACAGGAGAAGCAACTGCTGTTCATGTTTGGGGTGTTACCGGCAGGTTTCAGGGTCTTGCGGTTTTGTGGTCGGGGTTTATGGGTCTTGACCACAAGGGTGTTGCGGTACTTGAACAGCATAAGTATTCAGGACCGTTAATATGATTTTTGGGAATTTGGACCCAGTGCCTCGTATCTAAACCTCACGAACCATAATCCAAGTAGCTCAAGCCGGACACCGCCAGAAGCTGGGGCTCAGCAACTCGGCCCCAGAATGCACCAAAACTGTCAGCCGGGCAACATAGAAGGCCTGAATGATTGCCATTCTTATTCCGTAGGGCTCCTGATCATAGTTACTGATTCAAAACTATCCAGGCTCCTAGAATACTGAAGGAGCTGAGCTCTCATCGAAGCACACCTCTGCAGGAACTTCGCCGACGGAGGAGGGATCTGTCCCTCGAGTTAGAGCTACTCACCAAGCAGTAAGAGCCTCTAGGGTTGAGGGTTTATTTAGGGGGGAGGGTCAGGATCTAGTGGTTCAGGGCTTGGGGCATCAGTGGAGGGTTTCGGGTTTTTGAAAGTTTTGGGTTTAGGGTTTATGGTTCCAGCATGCGGTTTCGGGGGACTTACATTCGGGATAAGTAACAATACTCTTCCTTAGGGCTCCGTACGAATGATCATTCCTATCTCAGCAATAAATGCCCCAAAACCCTGTTCTAGTCGTTCAGGCCGCGAGATGAATCAGATCCCGGCACGCGAATCGAACCGAGGCTGCGCGACTACGTGACATTAGCATCGATGAAGGCGAAGGAGGCTCCGGGCGAGGAGAATTCGAGACCCGGGGGTTGGTGAATGCAGGGCTGAATGCAGGTGCCTGCAAGAAGCATGTTAATCCTAATTTTAGGGGCTCCTTCTCATAATTATGCTATAAAATGTGTTTTCAACCCCAAACCCCAATCGAACTGTTGAGGCCACTGCATTGCTTCAAAGACCAAGCGGCAATTGTTCATCGAGTTTGGGGGAATTCCCTTGCCCCTTTTTGGGGCTTTGGGTTTGGGTGTAGGATTTAGAGGAAAACCGCGCGGGGCTTTGTGCTACATGGCAGTGTAAGTCTTTGCTGGAGGCATTCCACGTTGCCCTTCCCTACGGAGTCGGGGTTTGGGGGTAGAAGGTTGGCATCAATGACTTCAAGAGCTCAGCGCCTACACCCAACGTCCCACCACACCTTAGCCTGTACTTGAAGCAATGCCTTCGACCGTAGGCCCTGACCGAATATACAGTTGTCCGGGTCCTCAATTCTTGGAAACTGGATTAAGGCCAAATAGTGCTGGAATTCCCTATACATTGCTCTTAAGGATGGAGGCTCTGGGGTTTCCAACTTTTGGGCTTCTATTGTATTGTACCACAACATACCCCAAACCCGTTTTCTCGCTTTTCAGGCCCCTATACCTGAAACCCTAAAGGCTTGTGATGGAACCCTCAAGGGAGCCCTCTGACGAAGGGAACCTTACTCCACTCTTGTTGAGGCCCTTATATTGAGCTATTAAGCTGGCCCGAAAAGAATCTAGTTCAGGCCGACTGGTGGGGTGAAGGTGCGCGAAACGCCTCAGCATATGCTATGCGTCAGGCGCGCGCCGATCGGTTTTATGGGAGTCTATGTGTAGGGTTTATGGGGTTTAACAATTAGAGCAGGTTTCGGGGTGATTTATGACTGTAACATAGTGTTCGGCAAATTCGCCACACAAACAATGCGGAAGCCTTAGGAGTACAGTTACATGCAAAATATTCCCGACCCCCCGTAGGGTTGAGGGTTAGCTTGGCACTGGTTGACCCTGGGAGTGCGCTTTTTGCGTGTTTTAAGCGCTCCCAGACACGCCAAATTATAGGAGTCACAAAAACTTACGCATATACAGATGTGTACATGTAAACTTGTACATATGTATATCTACACATATATGATCATGTGTTCATATATGTATGCACATATGTTACAGGTGGTTTCGGATTAGTTGTCTGAGGGACAAAAGTTCCTTTTTTGAGCAAAAGATATTCAAAGACACTGCTTTCATTACTGATACATACTGCTGACTCGTAGGACGGTGCATTAAGCTTAGAGTTTCTGGGCGTGAAAGCCTGTGATCTTTCATGTCATGATGTATTGCGTAGTTCGGGGTAGTTGAACAGTTGGAGATTTCTTATAAATGTGTATTCGCGAGTGCCGTTAGCCATGTAAAGATGCTACCGATATGCTTGCAATCGGAAATATGCTTATGTACGCATGTAGAAGTGCATATACAATGCATAACTGCATTTACAAGAAACACACCCACATGAAAGTACATCCATATGTGCAAGACAGAGCAGGTTGGATTTTAGTAACGTTATAGATTCCATAAAGCCATTTCAAAAACTATTAAAAGCCCACTCCCACAGCCCTCCGGACTTTAAATCAAGTTACCATGAGTCGTTTTGGTTGCCATGGCTCGTCTTAGTAACCTAACTACCACTATCCCTATCCGGACGGATCAGCAGCAACACTTTCAGAATTTGAGGCTTCAGTCCATTCACGGATGCTCGCCCCCAATTCCTGCGCAGGAACATACTTGCTGAATGTAGGGGCCAAAGCGCCTGAGCATAAGGATCCTAGTTTTTCGGTAGGAAATCTCTGAAGCTGTGAAGCCGAGGAGCAATGGACCTTGATATAGGGGCCTGAATGACTACCAATACTATTTTGGGGTTCCTCAGTATAATTGCGCCCCCAAACCCTGTTCTATTTAAGGCCCTACAGCTCTAAACCACGTTTTAAGGGTTCAGGGTTTAGGGGTTCCCAACACTTTAGACTCGAAAACTTTAGTCCCCTTTTCGTCCCTAAACTCTACTGTACAAGGCATGAACCCAACACGGCCAGGTTGGGGGTATTGCAACGTGGAACCCAGCTTGGGAGGAGCGTGGTGTTTCTCTGATCTGCATACCCTTTTACTATTGCCTAGGCCCTAGAACAGCTAGTAGAGACGTATATGGGGCACTGTGATTATTCCAGCGTGAGCTTTATTTTATAGCTAGGATTTGAGATTAAGGTTTGTTCAGGGTTTCAGTCTGATTGGTGCGCGGACTCGGTCCTGAACCAGCCTGCCGCACGAAATAGGAGCCGAAAGTGCGCTGAAAATAGGCCCAAAGCCCAGAACTCGTAACCCTAGATAATTTCAGCCACATATTCCTTATAATTCCCTTGTAGAACCCTTAAAGATCCCTTTAAGGAACCCCTAAGCTTTAAGCCATATTCCTGAATTAAGGGGAAAAGAAGGCCGAACCCCCCACACAGAAGCACAAAAGACTTCGGCCGCCGGAGCCGGGAGTCTCCAAAACCCCATTTTTCGCGACATCGCCTTCAATCACATCAGGAATGTGTCTTCGGATTTAAGGCAAAATTCAAATCCCGAAATGAAGGAATGCACCTGAAATCATAGGCGGTTGAAGGAACATCGTTTAAGGTAATTTCTTTAATGAAGGTCCTTAAAGCAACCCTAAACCCTATGAGCCCCGAAGCCGAAACCCATTACCTAAAACCCCGGAACCCTGGACCTAACACCTAGGCCCTAAACTCTATAAGCCCCAATGCATAGACCCATTATCCTAAAAACCCCGAAGCCCTAGACCCTAAACCCTATAAGCCCTAAACCCCAGACCCTGAGCCGACCCTGAACCCTTCTTTGGGGTTGCTGTGAGGAGTGCGCTCCGCTGAAGCTTCGAATTTTCGCCTACGCCGGGTCGCCTTGGAATGTCCTCAAGGCCGGGTTGTTGGTGTTTTAGGGTTTAGGGTTTTAGGGCTTTAGGGTTTAGGGCTTTAGGGTTTTGGGCTTAGGGTTTAAAGTACCCTTGAATAGAGCCCTTATGGTCCTTAATTGTTGGTATTTCGGGTATATAACAGAGTTGGGGGGGTCTAGGATCTACTTGCTTGAGGACTTACATGAAGAAGTCATAAGAAGGAACCTTGCAAAAGGTGTTTTAAACATGAAGAAGTCATAATAAGGAACCCTGAAACATGTAGATTTTTAGAATTGAAGCTGTAGTGCTTAGGGTTCAGGGGTTTGGAAGTAACTCGTTCAATGCATGTTGAAGGGGAGCCATTTGCGCTTGTTTCGTTCTTTGGGTCCGCACATGGTCAATAAAGCGGAGCGTTTGGGGTTTAGGGTTATGGCCCATGGCATACAAACCCCGTCCTTGTTCAATCATGTATGTCCTAGCTGAGTTCTCCTGGGCTTGCCTTGAGCCCGTACAACGGTTCCTAAGCGAGTCTCCCAAAGCCCTACGAGTAAGGCCTTAAGCCTTAATAGCCACGCCCTAAGCAATTTAAAGCGCTGGAATCTTAGAGCTGCCACATCCCGGAGGGAGCCCTTGACCCAAATCCCGGAAAACACTAAGCCTGATAAGCCTCGTATAGAGAACGCTTAACTAACCCTTATATACGACAATGAATGTCCAAGCGTCATTAGAGCCCTGCGTACATGAAAAAGAGCCCAAACAGCAATCATACCAAAACCTTAAACCCCTCTTAAAGACACCTTTGTCAAGGACAGTAGACCCCAAAAAGCTAAGTGCGTAACCAAAGCCTCGGGTTCATCCAAGAACCTTACGTCCCAAACGATACATGACTCATATGGCATCCACATAGTCAGCCTGTGCAAGTATGAAGCCCATGGAGCCTAGAGCTCGTAAACCAACCCATAAATGCCAAACAACTCGTTAAATCACAAGCCCTTTGTTGATCCCCATCATAGCACTATCTTAACCTTACCCCCCTACACCCTCATTCGTAAACCCCAAGTTCTGAAACCCAACTCTAAATCGCAACCTGATCACCGAATGGTTCGAGGCTGCCTGCTTCCATGGCGCCACCTTCGACGCCATCGACGCTGGCTCAGCGCTTTGCCAAGGGATCGGCTACCTGGGCAGCTCGGTTGTTCTATGGGGCTTGAGGGGTTTAGGGTTTAGGGTTATACAGGAATGATTTAGAGATTCATAAGGGTTTGATGTGGGTTTAGACTGGGTTATGTAGTTATCTGGGTGATGTAGGGATTTGGGAGGGTGTCTTTATGGGGACAGGGTGTTATGGGCCTCCTCGCCCGGAAGCCCGGTGTGAGCTCCTAGTACTGTGTTGTGGGTGTTCCGGTTTGTGGGTTAGGACTTGTTGCGTTTAAACTTATGAGTTTTCGGAGTCCGGCTTGCGGTAAACCCCACTCCTATACATATACTTAAAACCTAACGCCTTATGGCCCAATGTCGTTCACTTGCTGTTTCTGAATGCCTTGGCCTTGAAAACTTAAAATTGATCTGCTATTTCTTTATTTCATGTACATACCCAGAACCGTATTCTGAATATTAATACTAAACTAAAGATGTTTACTTAACGTGCCCAGAAACCTGTTCTGATCATCATGGCCCCTACATTAGGGCTCCTTAAATTTGAGAGATGTCCTCGTAGTCTGCTAGAGAGGCTCTGGCTCCTCTTGGCTTGAGGGTTTGGGGGGTTGGGCTCAGGGTTTTAGGCAGGAGCTCAAGAGAAGTCTTGTTCTGGATCTACAACGGTCCCGCAGTATACCTCAAAGCAAGATGTTGATCATTTTGGCCCCGAGGGGGTGTTGGATTTAGAGAAATCACGTACATCCTATATACGAACGTGCAAGTAGCCTCCAGCTCGCACATGCCCTTACTCCGCTCACCTCCCCAACCCCCCTCAAGTGGGCTTCTTCAAACACTGACATCCGAAACCCCCGAAGCGCCTTCGCCAGCAGCGCTTTTTTGCAGGGCTGTCTACCTGGTTCGACACTCTCTTGAAGATGGTTCCACACAGCTGCCCGGCTCTTTCGGCTGCCGGCGGCTTGAGGTTCTTAGCCTTCGTGGGTTTAGGTATTCTTGGTCCTGGAGAAGACTATCCCCAAAGAGGCCTATGGAAAGCCATTATGGAGAACTCATGTATGAAGCGGGCTTAAAGTCAGTTGGTGTTTTGAAGCTTTTGTCATCGGATAGATGGGTGTTTAACGTTGAAGGGTTCCCTGAAGCCTAAACCCCACGTGTTGTTGTGGTTTGATGGGCGACGGTAAGTGTGGCCGTACTGCCCTGGCCTTGATGAACGTCGTCTGACTAGGTTGGCAGACATTAAAAACACAGCTCAACAAAAACAACAAAACCCAAATAGCAACCCTAAACCCCAAACCCCAAACCAAAGGCTTAACTGAGTCTACCCTCCTTTGTCCCCAGGCTATATCCAGACAAGGCATTGCGAGGAGTCCGAGGGGTGTTTTGGGCTGTTGAGGGCTGAGCTTCCTGTGTTCCGGTTTAAGTTCCTAGTACTACTACCACTACTACGACGACGACTGCTGCTGTTTTTGCTGCTGCTAATGCTGCTCCTCTCCCTTTGAACAAAACCTGAAGGAGTTTTTCCTCCATCGCTTGGCAGAGCACCGCCGTGACGAATGGGCACCGCAGTCGATCCTTGCGGCGGCGCAGTTTGGCAAAGCATTTCAGATAGTATTTGCTATGCTATACCACAATCTACCACAGGATACCATACACAACCACAACAGAATGCACCATACACGATAAGATACCGCATATGTTATAATAAAGGATGAATTTCAGGGTTTAGGGTATAGGATTTGGATTCTGAGCTTTTGAGCTGTGAAGATCCAGGGCTCACCGCTTCGGGCCTAGCAAGTCGGATGTAGATTGTGGCTTTAGGCCTCCGGGTTCAAGGTTGGGTTAGGGTTTAGGTTTGAGGATTCACCTTAACCCTGAATAACCTACCTTTTTAGGGTTCCTGATATAAAACGCAGGGTTCTTCCGGGTTTAGGACTCAGGGTTTACGATTGAGAGGGGGGGCGTGTGGGGCCCCGAGAAACCTGCCGAGATCCCGATGCCCTTTACTGGTGCGGAGGTCAGGACAGTACAGGGGCGTAAATAATTACGTATACTACTTTGGTGGTTCCATAATAGAATTGTGGTATAATGGGTATTCTTAGTATTAAGGCCCTACAGTACGGAATTTTGGGTGGAGGGATGTGGGTTTGGGCGTTCGGCGTGTGTGATTTAAGGTCTTGTGGCTTCGAGATATGGCAAGGGTGCCGGCTTAGGACCAGTTCTTTTGTGGGGGGGGGGGGGGGGGAGTGTCCAATTAAAAAGCCAAACCCTGCAACTCTAGGCGAAGGGCTTCTTGGATTTGAGTTCAGGGTGCAGCTTCCCTGATTTCTGGCCACAGATGTAGGGACTCGGGCCACCGGTACTTTCAGACGTGGAATCGACTGACAAGTCCCTTCTATACCCTGATAACGGTGCTTTTGCACCATGACTCGTGAGGTATGCCATACCCAAGGGTCCGTAGACCCATACAGTGCCATACAGCATATACTCAGGCCTTGGAATACTTTATAAGGCCAGTGTATATGCTACATGGGTACATGGACCCCTGGGGACAGTGGGTCCTTGCAGCTTCCAGAAGAGCCCGCGACAGAAACATCTTAGATCACGGTTTGAAGGCTTAGGGTTCAGGGTCCTGGACGGCCCTAAACCTAAACACGAAACCCTAGGACGCCAAAGCTTTGGGCTCAGGGGTTTACGGTCTAAATTTCGCAAGTTCATGCCTACTGCGCGTCGAAATCTTGTGCACATGTCGAGGCAGACGGCGATGTTGGCCAAGGATGGCGAGGGGGAGTATCTCGTAAGGCAACACAGATCCACCCAAAAGCCCTAACCCTAAACCAGATCTAGCCCAAGCCTAAAACCTTCAATGGCTTCTTGTCAACTATATCCCAACTTAGAGGTCTGAAGGGTTCTACAGGGTGCCACGGGCCTCATTTTGAGTTACCATGAGAATTGTACAAGGTGAACCCTATTTCCAGCTGAATACTCAGTTTCCGCCCCTTATAGCAATGGCACATGGCTGGCTGTCAGAAATAAGGTCCCCTTTTTGGGTCCCTAATGTGATACGGCACCTAATATTTAAGGTATCCAAAAAGGGGCCATTATTTTGATAACCACCCACATGGCAACCGAAGCTGCGATCTCGGTTTTTGCTGCGTATGTCCGGCTGTTTTGAGTTTCTTACAAAGATGCTACCAACTCGTAAATTAGCTGGTCGAAGCCATTTGCAATAATGCCCCCTTGTAGTCCCTGGTATAGTATTATGTATCGAAACATATATACATAAAACTCTATGTATCTATACCCTATCTATTTATCTATCTATATATGAAGGCAAGTAAATTCATCCGACATGCTCTTCAAGTTTAACTAAGCCTTCAACTACACAGCGACGATCGACCGAAGCCCGCAGCCCCAAGGTGGCAAGCCCTGGCCCCAGACCCTGAAACCTTAAGCCCTTAAACCCAACCTGAACCTCAATTTCATGACAGAAAAGAACCTCAAGCTCATGACGCCTTAAATCTGAAACCCTAAACCCTATAAACCCTAAAGCCCAACCCTAAACACGATACCCAAACCCAGGCGATGTGCTCCACCCCTCGATCCGGCTATGCCTACATCGAGGTCTGTGTCTTTCTGGCCTTGTGGGGTAAGTCTTGAAGGTGGTGGTTCTTTTTGAGTTTTCGTGAAGGCTATGGTTCGTGTTGAGTTTTCGGGTTTAGGGGTTGGATTTAGTCGTTTTTTAGGCTTCAGGGCTGGGGGTTTTCAAAGGATTGAGGCTTCAGAACCTTGGCCCAAGGTGCTTCAGAACCTCTAAAACCCTCAACCCTGGGCCCCTTTATTAAACCCTGAAGCCCTACTCTCTATCCTAAACCATAATATCATCTTATCTTATCATAGTTTATGATATTGCATGGTATATCATAGTTTAGCATAGTTTAGCATAGTATCGTATAGTATAGGATAGCATGGTAGAGTGTGCATCATTCATCATCCTGAGTTCTAGACCACGGAAGAGGCTGGCCACAACGGGGACATTCTGGCCGCGAACTCCAAATCCTCGCAAGGTCCAATGGGGACAGCTCCTGGGGTTTAGGGTTCAGGTTTTGGGTTTGCAGCAGTTTATGTAGTGATTTGTCTCATTTCTGGTGGCTTGCATTACCTTAGCCGGAATCAGATATCAAGCCGCTCCCGTCGCAGGTGCCATGCATCGAACCTATAGGCCCAAGTCCTGCGCCCTCAATCCTCGAGGTTCCCTTGACGTGATGCGAAGCTTGTGATTCAATCCCTTTAGGGCACGGCGGTGCCTGATGAACCTCGAAGTCCCAAACTGCATAACATTGTTGTCCTTTGGGATCTTTTTTAATTTCCCCCTACTATTTTGTAGAGAACCATAGTAGTAAATAATTTCCAAAGGGCTTAAAGGACAACTCAGATAAGCAGCGCACCCCTGGTGCAGGACAAGCCGATACAACCCAAGGCGGTGCTGTCGCCCAATGGTTTGGCGCGAAAGCCAGGCGCACTTAACATAAGGGCCTAAATAATTGCCATAACAGTGTTGAGGTTCCTTATGATAATTATGGTTTCATTGGCCCCAAAACATTAAGGTTGCGATTGCCGTGTAGCCAGCCTCTGGAGCATACCTGGACCCCAACAGTATGTAGAATAACTGCCTTTTATAGGTTGTGAGCCATGATTTTACCTACTTTTGGGGGGGTATAGGTAGGGCTTAGAGGCTGAGGTTCGATTCGAAACGAAAGCACTATCAGTCTCGTCATCGTTTTCTTTTGCTCCGTCCTGTCCATATCACACCATTATTTGCTCAAGCATGCTTGTTGGTTTAGTGCGTAAATATTGATGTCATGTCATTTATTGGCTTAAAAATCAAGGCCCCTATATTAGGGTTGCGACTGCCCTCTTGCCAGCCTGTGGAGCATATACCTGGGCCCCAACAGTATGTAGAATAACAGCCTTTTAGAGGTTTTGGGCCATTATTTTACCTACTTTTGGGGGTATAGGTAGGGCTTCGAGGTTCAATTCCAAAAACAAGCACTATCAGTCTTGTCATCGTTTTCTTTTGCTCCGTCTTGT